TTTTTATTTTTATAATTTAAGGTAATAGTGAACCTTTTTCTGCAGTGCCACAGAGTCTATGTAGTGCCACATGGTCTCACTGTGGATATTTAGACAAAGAAACATGCCCAAACCTCCCTCTCCACAAAAGTTGGACAGAATTAGGTAACGGTTAGGCCCCTTTTTCTTCCTTCTCTAGTCCTGGACACTCTGTATTAATTACTTTTAAGGGTGTACTTGGAGGATGCTTAATAGCTTTGTTCAATAATCATGTAACAGTTTGTTCAGCAAAAAGGAAGGTAAAAACTAATGAATAATAATTTTTGATTTTTCTGAGAATTTAGAAGTAACTTTTTTAAACCATGGCATAGATGTGTGTCTTCTGTAGTCAGTTTAATTTTCTATTGACATTGACTCATGTCCTTACCTTTCCTTTATGCAATCATCATAAAACTGCGCAAAAATGAGTGAACTGATAAGGAATGACATCCAATAAGAAAAAAAAAAAAAAAGAAAAAAAAAAGTAAAAACAAAGGAGAGAGAACAGGCAAACTTCAAGCTCTTTAAACTTGCCATTTCAAAACAGTAAGCAACTTCTAAAGCACAGGTCAGCTGGTTCCCTCTTATTGCTGTTACCATAGCAGAAACACAGAAATGTGATTAAATAAATAAAGCTAATCAGAAGCAAAAAAACAAATTTGCAGTAAAAACAGCTCAAGTTAACCTATTCTCAGAGGACTTTGAAAGAAAACATACTTCTAAAGATGTGCTGTGAGAGAATTTTAGGCACAGCTGCAGAAAAAAAGAAGTATCCTTTCCCTCTCTTCAGAAGGATTAAGTCTGTCCTAGGAATAAAACAAAGTGGACAAAGTTTCTAACAGAAACAACAGATTGAAGCCCAGAATGTTAAAAGCTATGAGAAAGAAGAAAAATATTCTGTAAAAAGGCTACTGGATCTTTTTAAGGAACTTTAATGACAGAGTAAGCAACCCAGGCACATTAATTCTACCTTTACTTGTCTCTTGTGATATGGAAAATATCCTAACGGGAATTAAAAAAAAAAAATCTAGCAGACAAAACCAGATAACAATTCCCCTTGTTTGAGTCTATAAATCCATAAAATATGCAAGTTTATATCAGTCTAGGTTTATATCTATCTGTGGATGTCAGACTGTTCCACAGGAGGTAAAGTAACATTTTCCAAATTACAAGGGACATGGAAATGTCTGATCTGTGTAGCTGGGTGCGTAACCCGTTTCTTCTTCTTTAAGGCAGGTCTTCTGCTCCCTCTACAAACGTTAACAAATACCTAAAAAAGGAACAAATAACAAGTCTTAGTTTCCTGCATGTAGTATAGGGCATGGATTAAGATTACTAAGGCTCAATGTTTAGAACTAAAACTGGAATGAAATAAAAAGATAGAGTTGTAAAGACCAGAAAGCATTACTAAGATCAACATTTTGAAATGAAGCCATGGATCTGGGAGGCAGTTTTAAAGTTTGTTCCCATGGCTAAGTAAAATTCCTACAGCATGGGTGTCATGCTGTAGAGCTGGACCAAATTTGCTGGGACTTTGGATAGCCAGAAGTTTTGCTGTTCAGTGAGATTACTGTTTTTTCTCAGCTTGACAAATGACATGCAGCACTGACAGAATACTTCTCCTTTGCTGGCCATCACCCCTACGGACACTGGCCAGAACAGCAGCAGCAGGAACATAGCCTCCAACCCTGATTTAATCACATGGAGCCCAGGAGACTAGTGAATAGAGCTGTTAACTCTCTGTTCCGTTTGCTTTTTCCATCTGTGTTTTATTAAACCGAGAACAAGATTTACTCACTTTTTTAACATCAGGAGCTGTTGGTGTCCAAGATGATGGTTGATGTTAAGGTATACATACACATTTTATCCTGGCTGAGGACCAGAGAGGCCTACATTTTCCAGCCTAGACAATTTATTTGCAAAAGAACACAAAATCCCTCTACTCTCCCTCTACTCTACTTTCTCATCTGAAAGGATGAGCACAACAACTCCCCGTTCTCCCAGGAACACAGTATGTAAAGAACACAGTGAAACAGTAGGCTCTCCAGGAGGAGCCAGGCTCTGCAGGCACACAGGCGAACACATTAGTTTTACTTTAATCTTGACAGCCCCTGCGTAATCACAACTACTAACAATTTTCTGATTTCCACTCCAGGAATCTTAAATAGATTGGAGATACCAGCTCAGTGTATAGATACTTCTTCTAAAAGCCAGGAATCCTGAATGGCTCAGCTGGGGAACTGTGCTTTATGGGAACTGAAATTATGTGCCAGGCGCTTCGGTGCAAGGTGGGAGAGCTGAATCTCAGACACTTGCATACCTAACAAGCTACCACAAGAATAAAGCTCATTTCTAAAAGAGAAGAGGAATTAAAAGATATGATTTTGAATTGCGTTGAAAAGATAAACTTTTCTTCAGACAGTACAGTTGACTCAAGGTAGAGAGATCAAGTGTACAATTTTTGTACCTTTTAAATTTTTTTTTATAAATACATAAGTTTCAAGCAATAACAGATAAGGCTTCTGAAATAGAGTTTCAATGCAAACAGCCTCCAACACTCTTGATGCTTTTCCAAAACTTCTGGGCATTTTCTTCTTAACAGCAAGCTCCTTTCCAAAATGTAACATTCTCCCCCTCATCTCTTAATCATCACTCATCTCATCAAAACTAACATAGTGACATCCACTTTCTCTATTGCCATGCTACTGTCCCTCCAAGTACACTATGGCTTATTAGGTTTGCCAGATTTGTTGTCATCTACAAAACCTCTACATTCTGGTTTTTTTTCCGGGCAAATGCCTTCATAACATCATCTGAGTATCATATTGACTGTGGCACCTACACAGAGCATCATCATATTGCAATGATTCTTGTAATACTAAGACTCTCATGGTATCCCCATATGGCAATAAAAAATATTTGGAACACAAGACAAAACTGTTATTACAGTAGAGCTTAGGAAAAAACCCCATCTTTCTCAAAGCTTATTCAAAGTCAAGCCCACCATTGTTTTGCTTAAAACACTGTTTCTATTACTCACATATCCATTTCCTCCAGAAACTTTAATAAAGGCTGCAGAATCTGGTTTCATGTCTGATAGTTCCTGTTCTTAATTAACTTTCAATGTTAACAAAGCAGCAATGACTTTTGTTACTGTTTCCATTCAAGAATGGTCTTTTTTCCATGGTCTGTCACATTTTTATCATCTATGAGATGACAGTAGCAGCTGTTCATAAGCCAGTACAAATTAAGCAATATTCATGTGCTTTCCCTTTTATAGCTTTTAAGAATACTGGCAGAAAATGATGAAATCTGCAAGTTTTGGTTTTCTTGGTTTCTATTGAAAAAAGAATTTTAATTGTCTGCAGTATTAACTTGAAGAGAGGAACTTGGTCACTGTACTGAATCATGTCATAGAATCATAGGATGGTTTGGGTTGGAAGGGACCTTAAAGATCATCTGGTTCCAATCCCCCTGCCATGAGCAGGGACATCTTCCACTAGACCAGACTGATGAAATCCCCATCCAGCCTGGCCTTGAACACTTCCAGTAATGGGAATTTCAGTTCAGACTCAATGCTGTTTATGCATTTTATTCAATACATTAAAAGGGGGCTGCATGACAGATTCCTATAGCAGACAGCAGACCCTAGGAGAGAAACCTAATCCCTGAGGACTGTGTTAAAAGCTGCGTAATTTATGTTTTTGAATGAAAACCCATGAGTCTGGAGTGTTTTACACTGAACTATATTCTCCACTGTGTTAGCTATGCCTAAAGATGCAGTTCCCCATTTCCCTTTTGGGGAATGCAGGTACAAGGCCACTGATTATAGCAGTATTACAAGAAACTTGATTTAGGCATAAAGAAGGTGTCAGGATGACCCATCAGACTGAGAGGGTTATCTCTAGTCATGCAGAGAGGCATATCTTGTTGACGCTTAAGGACTTTCAGTGATGAGAATACAGGGCTGTTCAGGTTTCTAAGGTGAGCTGAATCATTATTTGATGTGGGTGCCTTATCCAGAGGTGCCCCTCCACAGCAGTCCTGCCAAAATTTTTGGTTGGTTTTTTTTTTTTTGTTATGTTTTGTGTCGTTCCCCCCCCCCCTTTTCCTTTTTAAAATTTTGTTTTTATTCTGTTAAATTCCTAATTTTTTTCTTTGGTTCTGCTTAGAGACCACAAAAAGCCCCTGGCTTGATAGCCTCAGGATCACCAGTAGCTGCCAGCATTGCTTGAACACTGGTGCAAAGTTCCTCTTTCTCTGTCAGTATAAGGATAGAAAGCAGTTCAACTCCAGATACTTGGTACAGGGATTTTGATCATATACAGAAAAATAATACTGTTTCTCCAAGAATGTTATGCAAGTACTGTTACACAAAAATGGCATTTTTCCTCACTGCTACTCCTATTTACAGAATATTATTTAGAAATCATAGAAACTGCAAAGAAGGCCTCAAACTGAAGGCTGTTTCATTGTGTATTTAGACAAATTCTAATGTGGACTAAGTAAAATAAATAGAGACTTATATATAAAAATTATATTACAAAAGAGAAAACTGGTTAAGTATCATCCCATCCAATTGCTTAAATTTCAAATACTTAGTCCAAGATTAGTGAAAATGAATCCCTCTGAAGAATAAAATTACTTGCTAAAACAACTGTCGTGCTGCCATTTGTATAACCATTAAAGTATTAGGATAGACTCAATTTGCCTTTTCATGCAGTGCACTTTATTTACGTCTTTCGTTAATTTTTTTATGAGTTCAGCTGTGTTCATAATGAACCGACATTTTCAGATGTCACTGCCTGTAGGTATGATAATCCCAAGTTAATTCCTTTTCAGATTTTAAGCAAAGAATACACTGGATCTATGGTTGTGTTTTATTCTGTTTTTCACCAATTATTCTTTGCAACTACAGATATTTACTTAAAGGCTGTTAGACAATTTAAACTTCTCAGAAGAATACAAATAAAAGCTGTTAGTGAAGTAAATATCTGTTTAATTTACAAACATCAGTAGCATTACTGATATCAGTCCAAATAAGACAAAGCACACTGCATTACACATGTACATCTAACCTTTTTGTAAAAAAAATAATAAAATAAAATTGAAAAAACATCTGCATTTTTACAGGGTACCCTGGGTTTTACTGAAAGAAGAACACAACCCACTACTGATTACCAACTCTACATTGTAATTTAGCAGCAACATGTTAACATGGGGAACATTAGGGCAGTAAAGTAGTTTTATTATTTGGGGAAAGTCACAGTTCTTGATAGCACAGCCTTTTTTTCTTTTTTATAAAAAAGGTAAAGAGCTCCATGGGAATATTAATTTAAAAAGATCTACCCTCTTATGTAATTTTCTACACACCACCTTATTTTCTGTAAGTACTGTATATCGGGAAAGTTAACTTCTCTACAATTGCCACCTAGTGTAAAGGTATTTTCTCTCATACATTACAGGTTCTTAGAAGGTGTACTGAATATCTGATGTATGTGAAAACTGCGGATTGTCATCACTTTCAGTTTCAGTGACACCAAATGGTCAGATTCTAAGGGAAAGAAAAAGAAAGGAGAGGAAAAAACCAGACTGAAAACATTTACCCCAAGACGACATGCTACGTTAGTTCTATTGCAAAAAAATCCTGATTTTTAAGTCCTTAAAAAAAAAAAATACAAAAATACTGGGACAAATATAAATTAATATATATTAAAGCATTGAAAAACAGTAAAAGGGATGGCCTAAAACAGTTAAGTACAATGTACTTTGATACAATAAATATTTCTCAATGAAACCGAATACTGTATAGAGCTGTTTAGAATTCATAGAAACAGAAATCCATATTATTACTAATTTATCCATCAATAATCTATTTTTATCATCCTCCAAACACTTATATTACAAAAAATTAATACTGGAAAAGGGCAGATAAACACTTTCTTCGTTTCTTTTGCTAACATGCTGACATAAAAGTATACATCATCAGGAGATTTCAGGATTATAGTATATTCTCACATCTCCTGTTTCCCATTCATTAAATGGGACCCCACCTTCTCAAGATGCTTAAGAACTTCAAAAGATAAAATGTATTTCATACAATTGTTATTTCTGTATAATCTGATTCTTTTCACTCATAATGCTTCCTGATTCATTGATAAGTGATTATGGTCTGTCAAGACAATAAAATATACTGATATGAAAGTGAAAAGACAATCCTCACGTTCTGGTCAGTATCTCATCTCTATTTCATCTCTGAGCTGTTAAACTGAAAGTCACATGTGTATAGTGTCAGTGTATCTTCAGCATGTTATAAAGAAGAATCCATGTTAAAAGCAGTTAAAGTTTCCCATCTCTGCTGCAATGTTAACAGGTCTTTTTTTTTTCTTCAAAGCTCCTCTTGGTTATGAGAAGTCTCAGTTCAAGCACTTGAATCTTTTCAAATGAAGAAAAAGTCTTTATTCTGATAATAAAAATAAGTCTGTTCTGTATTTTACAATATATTTCAAATATTTCCACTATGAATCATTAATTAGTCCGACACGGTCAATAAGTATACAACATTTTCAAAAGACAAGTGTGACAGGGACACTTAGGAGGGACAATTTGTACAGCCACACTTCACCACTTTTTCAACCTCGTCCACAAATGATGACCCGTCAGTGCATTCAAAAGAGTATTTCCGTCTCTTGCTCCTTAGTGGTCCACAGCACTGCCCGGTTGAACATCCTCCTTTACATTCTAGTCTCGATACCTTCTTGGTTGTCTGGCACGCAGCATACCCTTGCTGCTTTTGGTAGTAATCTCGGATTCGTTCCCCTCGACAAGAGATTTCTGTAGAAACAACATTTAAAATAAGAGATATACTTTTGAGACACAGATCAAAGAATGGTTGATACTGCTAAGGAAGATGCTGTTTCTAACTGCAGTTGGGATTGATATTTTAAAGTTTGACTCAGCATGTATATTGGAAACTGGAAACTTAATTTTATTAATGCTGAGTTGTATTCCCTATACCTCCTATTTTCAGTAAAGCTTATGTGTATGTAAACCGTAAATACAAAGCTATTATAACGGCAAGAAAATTAGAAGCTTAATATTTTCCTTTCTTATAGAAATACACATCTTCTGTTCCTACACTGCTTGCAGCTGGTTCTGTTTACCATAGAGAAATGTTTCAGAGAGCATGCAACTTAATTTATTAGACCTGGAGTTTAATATTATTCAAACTCTTATTTAATACAAGTTACATTCCTCTAACTTCATAAATTACTGAGGTATAAAACAGCTAAAAATGAGACATCTGTTAAAAGTTCTACAACCATATTCTTCTGTTCTACTCACATCTATGTACACTACAAAATAAATGCCATCTGGGGTAAGGGAAAGAAAGGGAGACCATTGATAGACAAGGGAAAAAGAAAAAGGTAGGGGAAAAAGTCATCCTGTTTTCATCCATCTCACCTGCATAATTCGCTGTGATAAATCAGTTGAAGCTGAGAGGTCAAAAGTAGAGTTTGTGATAAAACTAGGAGCAGAATCATTGGATTTGGCTTCTCAGTTGCAGAAGGCAGAGAAACAATAAATACAGAAAGATACAGCAGGTAAAAGGTAATATTTAAATATAGTAAAAATGTGTTTCTGAATAAAGGCAAAAAAGAGAAATGTTTTCACAGCAATATTTGATGAAAAAAATCCTGAAAATGTAAACAAATTCATGGGAAAAGTTTAATTTTTCTCTGACTGAGATAAATTCTTATGGTTAAAAAAAAAGCAATAAATGTGTGTATTGTGGGAAAAAAAAGTTGGTAATGTTTTTGGCTGCTCATGTTTTAATAAAAAAATGTCTAAGGTCAAAACAACAATGTTATTATATGTTTGTTTTTTTTTACCTTTATCACAGCTATCCCCCGTGTATCCGCTGCCGCATTCGCAATATGGTCTCCCAAGTCCTGAAAGCCTGCATTTGCCATGTTTACACCTGATGGATTGGCAGGGGTTAAACAGCATTTCTTCTTCATCACAGAGGACTCCCCCATGTCCCTGCAGGCATTTACAACTGTATGAAAATGCATTGATCGGCAAGCAGGTACCATGCACACATCTACAGGGGAAACAAGCCCAAGAGAATAAAAATAAATTATTCATCAAAGTTCAGGCTAAGCAACATTAACTACAAATACTTTGGACTGTACTCAGAAGAAATTGCTTTTGTTTCTAATGGACTTTTTCAGTGAGATGCAGTGAAGTGGTTTATAATTTGTATGCAGGTTTACGTAAAAGAAGCTGCAGAACAATCTCACCAGAAAACAGCCACTGTAGATGTGTTATGGAAGGCTTTTACAGGCCAGTTATTAAACCCAGTACATCCTCTCTATGTAAATTTTTAGCATGCTTTTGAGTAGAACAGAGCAAAATCAAGCCCAAATATAATCCAGAATTAAGTAGAGAAACAGGATACTCACCTGAAATTCTGGTTCCTGTATAATTTAAAAAAAACCCAACTATATTGTCACTCATGAAGAATTGGGCTCCCAGCACAAATTCAGATCAGGGACTTCCTACCTGAAACTCTTCTGACCCAAGCAATGGCATTTTCAAACCAGAAGATGTGCTCCCCTTTCAAATACCCGCCTGCTCTGACAACTGCCATTAGGGTGGTCATATAATGTATGTTCTTGCTTCTTTTGAGAGAGAGGTGGTGTTTTACAAAAGGAGAATGTTTAATTACCTGTTCCTAGGTGTAAGATGAAGACGGGGAATTCACGTTCCGAAATCACCACCAATTACTTTGTTCATTTGGTGGCACAGGGTCAATAGCTTTCTTCCTAAATTAGTATTTTCTTTAACTGTTGTCTAGATACACAAGTTTTCTATCTACATACTGTTTCTTAGGGACACCACAAGGAAGATTCCTTTGTAGGAAGGAATGCAATCTTAACATTCAATGTTACAGTCACCCTCTGTAATGTTTCTCCTCTCTAATATTTCTCCTCTCTAACGTTTTCCCTCTCTGTATTGTAAGATTTCTGAGCCCACAACCTCCTTAATAGGTTTTGACAACCACCTAAATAAATATTTAAATAAAATGAAAAGCTTTAGATAAAAAAAAAAATCCCATTCCATCTAAAATAAAATCATTTGAATTTGAAGATGGAAAAAATCATAAAATAATGCATTTTGTAATAACACTTCTGTTATGAACAATATCTCATTTTGACATTTTTTAGATAATGTACTTCTAGAAACATTTTGCTTTATACTCTACTTCAGTAGAGTAGGAAATTTGTTAAAATTGAAAAAATTAGCAACAGTTTTTAACTCACAAAATTGAATCAACTGTTTAAAATGGTTTCATTTAACGAACAGCTACAAGTTCCACTCATCAATTAATTCTACATTACAGTTCTCCACCTGCATGCGTAATTCTGTGCAAGTACTTTAGAAATAGTGTGACTTGGAGGAAAAAGAGCATAGGAAGTCAGTCTGATAACAGGAAATTTGAAAGGCACAACACATAGCCTCCATTCACATATCCAGTTTTGCATTGAAAACTGAAAATATGGAATCTAACTAATACCTTAAGCACCTCCAACTTCTCTCTTATGCAAAAATCTCTACTTTTGAAGGAACTATGTTCCCTAAAAAATTCCAAATTGTTCTTGTGTTTGAAGTCTGATATTCCAAAACTGTTAGATTAAGCAACTCAAAATTGGAGGCTTAGACAGTATCACGGGGCAGATAGCTTTTGTTTAGCTTTCACTATGTTCAGCATTTGATCTGTTTACCATTTAAAAAACAACCACTCTGAGGACATCTGATCTATGAAGTTACTCAGTGACATTGATATCATGCCATATTCTATAGAGACTGGTTTAGATATCAAAGCAATCTGTGTCAGGATCTTTGGTACAGTTTTGCTTGACTTAGAAGATGATTAAATCTTAGCTAATGCCAACTCTCATACTTTTGCTTCCACCTGTTGAAGCCCTAAACTTCATCTTCAGACTGAACTGAAAGGAATGTCAAGCTAAGTGCAAAGTCATAGGAACAGTTTCATCTTACCTAATTTTAGGTACCTATGTCAGGCACTCAAGTGAGATGTATAATTGCCATGAGCTCCCCACACAGTGATGGAGAGAAATGAGCTTATCCAGAGTGTGATTAGACCACTTGAGGTCTAATTTACTCTTTAGAAATGTTTTTATTCTTTTACTGAATATAGAGCAAACTGTGGTCAGTATGTTCCTAAGTCAAACACCTAGATTTAGGTAAAATAAATCTAAGCCTTAACCCTTTTCATGGTTTGCAGGGATCTCTAAAAGATCCCCTACATTTTCAAAACAGAGATCAGTGACAATTCTGTTTCTTGAATAAAGTATAAATGTTATACTGTATTAGACAGATAAAATTCATCTATTCAATAGACAGGATTTAGAGATGAATCAAGAAATACAGAATCAAAATCCCCCTTTGTGTTTTTTAACCTGCTGTGATTTCCTTTCTTTATCTCGTAAGTTACTGTGAAAGAAGACAGGGTAAGAAAAAGACCCATAAACAATGAAATGCTATCAATGATATACCTCAAAAATTCACTGCTGTAGCTTTGCAAAGGTTCAAAATTTAATAGTGATGAGAGTCCCCAACCAATATAAATGTTGCCAACTGCATTGTAAAGCATACTAACTGGTGTATAAAGCTTTAAAGAGTCAGAATCTCCACACACCCTGTTTGAAAAGATCACTTAAATATAATTTCATATAGAAATTGAAAATAATCTCATTGGAATTTCTTACCAAGCTCGGGACACTGGTACTGAAAAGTTATACAGGCCAGAAGTGATATAGGCCAGAACACTGAAAAAGCAGTAGCCAAAAAAATCCAAGTGGGCTTACCTTACTCTACAAAGAAACAAAAAAATACCCAACCCCAAAACAAAAAAATTGGTTGCCAAACTGCAGTCAGGGCAGTGGGAACTGCAAGCAGAATGATATCTTGTGGCCCATGGCCAATAAATCTTGGAGAACTTTGAACTTCTGAAGTTTCTGATCATTTTGTGGTGGGAGACCATGAGCCAGAAAATTGAATCTGTCTCTATATAGTAAATTTAAAAGATGAATATGCATAGATATCAGTACACTCATACACACATAAATACATACAGCTCTCTCTCTCCGCACATATATATACATGACCCTCTCTATAAACATACATAAAATGTCCAACCTAAAATGTTTTAGTCAAATCAGCAAAAAGAATTAGCACACACAGACTTAAACAGAAATTAACCATAAAGATGAAAATCTGTTTTCCTGCTAAAACCTGGGGTACTGTGAAAATATATTAGCTATATATTGCATCAAGTTTTTTAAGCAGATTAGATAATAATAATAATAATAATTTTTCCTCACTATATACAATTACAAATAAGCAAATATATATTTTTTTCCATTTGCAACTTCTAAATTATTTTTGTACCAAGTGTACCAACACTTGCATCAGTGTAACTCATTACAGAGGAAGCACATACAGAAGTATGTAACAGCACTTCCCAGGCTTTAGGCAGAACTTCATGAGATGTATGTATCTGCTCTCCTAAATGGGGGACTTATTAAGTTTATGAAAAAAATAGACTATAACCTGGACTCTGTTTTCAATTTTACATGCCCACAATATTTTTTCTTGCTGAAGAAAGTGTGAACATTCGTGAAAAAAATACATACAACAGGAGACACGTATGCATATTATACTATTATTCTGTCTTGAGGAAGGACATACTTATTTCCAAGACATGGGTCATTAGTTTGTTGATCACAGAGGGGTCCAGTCCATCCTCCTTCGCATTCACAGGAAAAGCTTGACTGGCTGGTAGCATGGCATGTTCCATGCACACAAACTTTCTTGTGACAAGGCTCGCAACCTGGCAGAATTCCCAGTTGCAGTGGCACATTTCTGAAGTCCTGGAGTTCACTGTTGATATATAGATTACGGATGCAACCATGGAAGCTGGTGCCATTTTGTCCTGGAGACTGGCGTAAAGCTGCTATGTTATTTTTCACAGGCATGCCTAGGAAATTAATAATCATGAATAATCAGTATAATCTTTGATGCAATTTTCTGAACCATTTTCACTATTTTAAAAACATTTTTAAAGAAGCAGCTTTTCCTAATTAATTTTTCTTGGATGTTCAGCCTACAACCATGAGCAATGTTCTAGTATTTGGAAATTTTCCTGATTGTCAAGCATGAATGTAAACCAACTCCAAATACGTTAAGTTTCTAGGTCCAACTGAAGAGATGGATATAGGACTTCATACAGGAAGCTCACAAATGTGTGAAGGTTTAGATAAATTTCATTTTTGACCTAGTGCAATTAAGTCCAAGATAGTACATAGTTTCTGAATCTTGGAAAAACAAAAGTTCTTGAAATTTAGCACCTGATAACACGATTTTTTGTAAGCTGCTAAGATACTCAAATCCAGAAGAATTTAGTTGGACCAGCTCATCAATTTGGAGCTGGCATACACATTCAAATGTGAAATTTTGCTAGTGAAAATTCTTGCAAAGGAAAGCTCAATGGGATGAGGTTCTATTAGTTTAAAAATATTTTCATTTAGTTTGTCTCAAAAAACAGATTAATAAAAAAAGCCACTCATAGTTTGCCATTAAAGTTTAAAAGAAAGGTAATCAATAATAGCAATAATTTGACATCACAAGACTTATGTGCAGATATTTCTAGACAGTGCAAATGCCCCTGATGTTGAGCATTTTCAGAATAATTCCTCTGGTTTAGTCCCTAATTGTTAGAGGTGTAATTAGAGCAGTAGGTATATGTGATACAGTTATCCTATTATGATCAGTTAATCATTTAAGACTAATTCAGAAGTAACATTACTATTAAACATTGTTTTCTTGTAAAAACTAAGTTTCTTCTACCCCTTTTTAACTTTTTGACAACATATTGGCCTGTATTAGTTAGCCCTTAAGATATTACATTCAAATGAATACACAAATGCCTAAATGCCTTCTGAGATTAGTAAGTAAATAAAAGTGTACTGAGAATTAGAAAATGATCTGTTTACCTGAAAATATATATGCCTATTAGCTGCACTGGTTTATTCCTATGCAAAATTAACAATCTTCGTTCTGGTACATAGGTAACCACAGAAAGAGGCAATGTTCTGCTAGTTGCTCCTTAACTGTGTAAACTGATACTTCTAATGGTTTTATGCAGTTACTTTGAACAGTTAAGAGTCATGCAGAAGTGCTATGTAACCTAATGAAGTAGACCTGTCTTTCATTCAGAGGTTATTGCAATTTCATTTGTGCTAAGCTTCAGTGATTATAGAAATGAACAATGTTGCATCCATGCTGCTGAAGAGCCTAATCTTCTTTGATCTTATCAGTTACGTAAAACAGGCTTGGGACTGCTGTATTAAAGGACTCAGACTGCAAACAACCCACTAGTTTCCATTTCCTCACAACTATTAACCATATTCTCATCATCCAGGGACAAGACGCTAAAAATGAAAGCCACGTAAAACAAAGTAATGCAGTGTTAAACTAGATGTTATTCTTGTGTCAGGAAACTTGCATATGATCTCTGGGAATCATATAAACACATATGACACCAGATAATATGAGGCATGTAACATGTGACTAAGAAGTTTTTTTGCCAGTCTCCAATATGGAAAACATCTACAAACACAATGCAAGCATATACACTTTTTTGCTTCTTCTAGCAAGTTACCAAGTGTTAGAAGGCCAAAGTGTGTGCAAAAGCTGTTCATATTCTTTAGCAATATTAGTTACGAAAGAATAGCCATAGAAATAATGCACATAAATATTTCAGCTGTATTTTTGGAAAGGTAAGAAAGTAGTTTGTGCCCCCATTTAAGCTTTTGGTCACTGAATCTGACTACAAGTAAATTACCAGATCACTGCACAAGGAGGCAAATGGTAAGACCTCTGTTAAAGAACAGTAATACAATAAAACTGTCAAAATGAGTATCTTATTCTAGAAGTTCCTCTAACAGAGCAGGCACAAATGAAAAGCAGCCGATGCTCTACCTTTCTCAGAAATAGGGACTTCCATGAAACAAGGTGTTACTCTCAATGAGTAAAATATGCTCTAATTTCTTACGGAAGAATGTGAATTATCAGTGAAGTCTAACCTCTTTGAAGAGTTTTTGAGAAGAAACAGACTTTTTACAAAAACCCCCGGGCTTTCAATATGATTTACTGAAATCTGTTATAGAAAGACTGAAAAATACCTAGCACATGCATTCTGACCACACAAGACAGCCATGAAGTTGGAAAAAGGCCAAAAAAAAAAAAAAAAAAGGAGAAAGATTAAAAAAGGTCAAAAAATTGATTAGCTCATTTTCTGTAAATATAAATTCCAAACCAACTCAAATACTGTGAACCAAGCACATTTTTTTTAAAAGAAAAAAAAAAGAAAAAAAAAAGAGGGCAGGCATGCATGGGGAGAGAGAAAATGAGAGAAAGTGAAAGAATGAGAATGAGAGAGTATGAGAGAGAGTACACCAATCAAGGGCTTGCTGTCAAGTCTGAATTTCATCCTGCCAGCTGAGGTGATGCTCACCAGAAACGCGGTTTAGCAGGAAGGTGATAAGAGTAAGTGGAAGCTACATGATGATAGAGGTGTCAAACTAAGATTTTGGCAAAGACGAAATTACTGCATGAAATCCTAGAGAGAATTCGAGTTCTTCACTGATGAAAATGTGTGATGAAATTCTCTAAAAATTCTAGATACACGTGGTTAAAAATTGAATGAATCTCAAAAAGATAGGGAAGAAAATATACAAGAGTGTAAGTTAACTGTCTCAAGAATTTTAAAGATAAATAAACAAACATAGGTAAAGAACATGAAAGTTTCAGAGCTCAGTACCAACATACTGTGTTTCTTGCTTTATTTTATATTAATTTGCTCCTAATAACGGTTTTCATTCTGTTTTGCACCAACATTTTCTGACAGGAGAAACAATTGACTGCTTGCATCCTGAATGTGAACAACAGAAATAGGAACACAGGACCTCTCTAATGAGTATGTACTAGGTTGAAGAAGATTCCTGCTCTTAGGAATCAAATCACTGAAGGAAAACATTATTTCCAAAAGTTATTTATTCTGATACTTAATTAAGCTAATGCAGATTAGTATGATTCTCCTAATGGAGACAAAAGATATGCAAGGTGAAGCAGCAGAGGAGAACCACGTCGCAGATCAAGTAACTTTTAGGACTGTACAGAATAAATGTTTATAGTTGGGAGTCTTAGCCTCATTTCATCAAAAGGTGCTCATAACAGACAGATCATTCTGCACTAAGCTCAATTTTCAAGAAGTAGCAAAATTTGCCTTAGCTGTCATCAAATAACAACCTGATGTTGACAATACAAATAAGCAAGCATACACTGTCTTATTAGAAACTAGGACAATCTCTCCTTCCAAAGATGTGGCATCTGTATAGAACAGAAGGATACACATGAAAACATGCAGATATGCTTCCACAAGGCAATCCTCCTTTAAAGATTCATGATAGGAAGCAATTTTAAAGGCAGCTCATACATTTGACAGTTTTAATTCTTTTCTCTGCTGGTATAAGGAGTGATGAATAATCTCTCTCTTGTACTTGTTCCCATGTTAGATGGAAGGAAGCAATGACAAAATCTTAAAAGATTTTACAAAAAAGCTGGTGTTTCAACAGAAGAATAGGGATGTTCAGTGACAAAAGTCAACTTACTGCTCATCACTGTAACCAATGCATTTATTATACTACTTTTATAGGAGAAACAGACTATTCTTGATTGGTATCAAAGCAACTTCCTGTTTTTCTTTTCCATTAGAGATAAATCTTAGCAACTACCCAGACAGGATAAATAGCACTTTTTCTAAAGAAAATAGGCATCTCATGTATGTACTACTGGTAGCGTATTTTTTTGCAAGGAGGCATGATGCAAGTCTAAAAACTTGTTCTCAGACACAAAACAGTTCTTAGAAATTAAACAAGAGGAAAAAGAAAGAAAAGCAGGTATTCTTTTTGCAGAAAGAACAGTTCAGAAGGAGATTCCTTACATGCCTCTTTAAGAATGTAAAGTTAAACTAAATAGAAGAATGAAAACTGGCAGATCAGCAGTATTTAGAAACCATGCTGAATCTCTCATCACAAAGAACTTTGTCTTGCTGTCAAGGTCAGTAAGAAGGCACAAAGTGGTGCCTGGATTCTTTTACCTAGGTTATATCTCCACAATCACTTACTACCAGTTTTACTGAAACAGACAATTCTTTCTTCTCAAAACAAACCAAAAAAACCCAACAACATATGCTGCCACATACTGTAAGGCATCTGTCCAGGTGGTTCCCTTCTTACCTTATGTCATAATGTCATAATTCCTATCAGTCCTAAGCAATAAGATCTCCTGACATAAATTATAATTCATGGCTTTATACCTTGCTATCATTTCCTGCAGATACCTGTACAGTGAAATAGAAATGTAAAATATAACCAAAACTACTGTTCTGCACTTTCTGAATAGGCATTACTGAATCTTCAGGTAACTAAACAACATTACACATACTTCTTCAGTATAATAAAAAAAGCTACATAACAGTAGCAGTTTGAGGACATACTAATTGTTAAAACTATTGAGATTAACTGCTGAAATTTCATCTTAAGGTGTTATCTCAATAAATGAGCCTCTTACCGTGTGTTTATTAATGCATGTTACCAGAGTAAATTAGCTATGGTACCACTAGTAAGAAGCAGTAAAATTCTCTTACCTCCTACATACAGCGGAGAATCAAAATTCAGAGTGGATTGCTTGGACAAATTGGTAATTATCTTGGGGCTTCCTCCATCAATAGATAAAGACAGAATCTGATCCATAGCTAGCAGCTCCACAATGTGGAAATTGCCATCATTAATTGTTTCCACACTGCAAAATAAACATTAATTTTTAACAGTTGATGGTCTGGTTAGAACAGCTTTTGATCTTCTTCCCCTTTGAGTTAATACAGCTTCAGAACAGAACTTCTCCAGGAGTGCCGTCTTCTGAAAACTAGATTTTAAGCAAGGACGTGCATGTATGCTTAAGAGCTAATACAAGTAGCCCTTCAATAACACTCTATTAATAATATGTATTGTAAATAGCTCTTTTTCATTCAAAGTTATTCCTGATCTCATCAAATAATGAACCTTCCAACCCAAACCATTCTATGATTCGAATGCTATTTCAAGATCTTATTTGCATGCATACGTATGTGTGTATGTATCCTACATGTTGCATAGTACTGGGTTTGCATATTTTGCAGTTAGGAAGGCCTGAGTTCACACCAGTGTTATATAAATCTACTATTTTATGGAATATGAAACTGCATCTAACCTTAGTTACAAACAAAATCACATAATTGGTCCAGACAGCTCCACTGATGCTAGCAACAAAGTAATTTGTTATCTTTATTAGGTGTGATTATTTCTGTATTTTCAGCTTCTGGCTAGTACAGTGAACAGCATATGCTATTTCCTTCTGCTTACTAACAAGATATGAACCCACTAGTTAGAGAATGTCCGAAGGGCGTCACACAGAAAAGGCTTGTTTCAAGCCTGGTGCTTATGTGTAAGGACAAGGCTACACACATTACTAAGTACAAGAAATCGCTGCTGACATTTACCAGTTTAAATATCAACATAGCAAATGTTTAAGTGTAGGGCAACTACTTTGCATTTGAATACAGTTTAAGTACATCAGAGAAGGAAGAATATTATTATTCAAGTTTGCAACTGAATATATCTTTGCTCTAACATTGCTTCTAGCCGATACTCTCTCCCCAAACACTGGAGAATTAAGACCTGAATGTATGGCTGCATGGAATTCATGACAATAAGCTGTAGTCCAGAGACCAGACATTATAACCATTCCCATGAGAGCCTTTATTTGCTTCAGGGCACCACCAAGTAAGTGAGCTTAAGCCTTTGAAAAAAAGTTATTTAAATGAACCAATTGTATGATAGCCTGAGATGGACTGAACAGTCAGTCATACAGTCAGTTAGCTCTTCTCATTAGGAAAGCAGTATAGCTCAAAGGGATTAGCTTCATAAATCTCAAGGCAAAAATCAAGCAAATTACCTTGTAACATCCTTAGCAACGTTTTAATTAACCTAACTGCTTTTGTCCTGGAACAGATCAGAAGCACTCACAAGGTTGTTTACAACAGTGACACATTAAATAGCTTCTTAGCTATTTATTAACAACTTTAACTATGTGGACAGGCTCAGCTCAATATGGATAAAAGACCTGGATGGTAGTATGCATGCTTTACGTAAACTTGGCTTTCTGTGAAAGTGCAAACACACAACAGAGCAGACACTGGCAGAATAAACACTTTCTGGGGGTGGGCAGGAGGAGGACTGCCAGGTTCCATGGAGAAGGAAAAGGTCAGAGTTCATCGTTCCTAAAAATTGAGGTCTATTCAAGGTATTAAAGAGTTTTTCTTTCTGTGATAAAGCAACAAGAAAAGTGACAGGATTAATTTCTTTTACACGTTTGAATGAAACCAGGAAAAAAGCTGGGCTAAGAAGCCAAAATGCGTACGACTTCTTGACTGAAGCAAGCAAGAAACCCTAACATAATGCTCTTGCTCCAAGGAAATTTATGTTATTTAACAACTTACCAGCCTTTCACACAATAATATTTAAAAGGATGAGAGCAATACAGAACATGCATTTTCATAGCAAGAGATCATTTCTGGGATGTATAAAACATAATGTGTGAAGGGAATGTGTCTTTAAGAGTGATTATTAAAAGCTTCTAGCTTAAACCCTTTTACTGGTAAAAATTTACTGCAGAAAGAGGAGCCCTCCTAAGTAAGGGTGGTTTGTATTAAAGGGGAAATAAGCACAAGGCATATCTGTGTAATATTTCCTGCCAATGCACTTATATTACTTCTAGCCCATTTCCCATTGGAGAAATGACAGCTGAATGCATAGATCCTAATGAAAAGCTGTAAGAAAAACTGATTTAAAGCTTCTGGAACTCTTTAGAAGAATAATGATTTGGGAAGAAATATTCCCATATTTCCAATAAATATATGATGAAAACTGGTTTACAGAATGAAAAGGTGAGGTTTTTTGTTTGTTTGTTTGTTTTTTCTTTTTTTGGTCTCTGTGTGTGTGTAAGAAACATTTAACATTTCAAAATGCATGTCCAGACAGAACAAAACCCAAGTGGATCAACTTTTCCCAAATAACCATTTCCAATGAATTAATTTTCTTTACTGGTCTTGGCAATGCCACCATCTCATCTTATTACTCAGATTGACTGATGAGTGCTTCTAGGGTGATGGCTCTTTCTACAGTCAATTCCCATTGGTAAAGAAGTTCTCATTCTTTACACAGCTAGACTACTATTATTGTTGATTGTCCATATTTACCATGATTAAATCAACTGTTTGCAGCTTTGTTTTTTGCTACTGCTACCACCTCCCTAGGCTTTACAGCTCCCATTTGACTCCTTTTCAACATACCATTTGTTGACAGTCATTTATATTCTAAAACTTTTATTTGAAACTCTGTATTGGATCTTTTATTTTGTTTTGGCCTATGTTCCAGGCATCTTATCATCGTTCAGTAGAGTACAACTTGTCTTATTTTTTTTCTATATTATCCATGAATCTTCACAACCTTAATGAAACCTGTAAATCCCTTGTTAAACTTACCAGTTCTTTAATTTCCTTTCTTCCTTCTCACTGTAAGCAACTTCCCATCTTAGTTTGCAAACTGTCTACCCTGTTATCAGATCAATCTTAAACCTCACTGTTCTTCAAGGTGATGAGTTAAAATGCCTTTTTGTCTTCTTCATGTCTCTCTGATAAAAAATACATTAACTTGCTTTTATAATTCATCATTTCTTTGTACTGGATCTGGCTGGGATCTTCATAATAGCTGGTATGGTGCTATGCTTTAGATTTGTGACCAAAACATCTCTGATAATGCACTAACATTTTAGCTGTTGTTGAATAATGATTGCACAGTGTCAAGGCCGCCTCTGTTTTTCACTCTGCGCCCCCTCCCCCAGTGAATAGATTAGGGGTGCACATGAGGTTAGAACGGACACAACCAGGCAGATGACCCGAATGTTCAGAAGAAGGAAAAATTAGGCCTACAGAGAAAAAAGAGAAAGATGTAGGACAGGGCAAGAAATAGTTAGAACAAAGCAAGAATCAGGGTAACAGTAGCAGATTGTAAGGAAAATGGGACTGGAAACTGAGTCAAGGAGGAGACTGAGAAGGATGAAATAGATAAAAGTGAACTGGTAGGTACATATAGATTATGTCTGTCAGCAGATTTTGAGCAAAGATGATCAGCTCTACCTGCCTTAAAAAAAAACAAAAATGAAGGGAGGGAAGGGAGGAAAGAAAACATGGTGTTAGACTGAAAGAAGAACAGGAAACATAACAGGAGAGAGCTGTAATAGGTAACAAAGGTACAGAGAGACAGCATGTAATGACTGGATGAAAAGAAAGTAAAGATCTTGAAAAGGGCAGGAAATGACACAAAGATTCTAGGAAGGTAAAACAGTAAGAACGGTAAACAGGGTATGGCTGAAGCAAGTTAGAAAAATATAAATAGGTTGGAGAGGGTGAAGGGATTAGAGTATGTGTAAAAGATCCTGTGTTATAACATACTCCTTTATAGAACCTGAAATAGAAATAAAATAAAATCTAATTTGTAGAGTAATCATTAGATGCACAAACATACATACAAAAGTGGAAATATATACATGGCTTCCAACAGATGTATATCTCTCAAGGCGAAAAGACTTCATTACAGTTGATCTCAGTACCATTACGTGCCAATTATCAAATATCTACTCAAAACTCGATAAATGCTTACTTGAAACAAAAGGGAAGTTAATAATACTAAGACTAGTAATATTACAAGCATGTATCTGCTTCACTAAACAACTGTGTCACCCTGTAACACTTCACTATACTTCACATTTCTTCACAGAATGACGATGCATTCTCTACTTGTTATATAATTGAAAGGAGCTGATCAGCTATGTAGAGCAGATGGTTTTAGGTGTTCCGTAACAGTAACCTAATCGAGACTGTTTGCTAATTGATTATGTGGTTATTAATCCCTTCTGTATTTATGTTTTTTAATTTTACTTGTGTAAGCATTGTTTTCCAATCTTCTTCTAGAAAACTACAATGAACAAGTATGAGTTACCAGCTTTTATTATATTCCTGTAATACTGGAGAAAGCATTAAACTGATGAGAAGGAAATATGTTTTGAATGGGAAGAAGTATTCTTGATAGATTAAAAAAATGGGAGTGAAAACAACTTGAAATTACATATGATCCTGATTCCTATTGCTTCTTATTCTCAGACACCTATATCTATCAAAATAAAAATCAACAAAAATAATTAAACTCCTTACAAAACATTTCCACATGTTAAACCATTCCACAGAACTGTAAAAAACATTATGAAATACATGTTGCATCAGAAAATAAAAGCAACCTTAAGATGCTTATTGTAAAAATCTATGATTTTACTAAACATCTTTATACTATATTTTATAGGAATAATTTTTCTTCTGTGGAATGCTTTTAGTAATCTACTAAAACCACAGTTCCCTTGGTGCTCTTACCTAGCAGAGTTTAGCATTATTTCCCTGTTTAAGCTTTTGATTTTATACTGCCATTTGAGTACATTCATTTCTAAAAATCAAATATTTTCAGTCAGATATCCCTAATAGAATGCAGAACAGTGTCAACTGCTACAACCTCCTGCAAGTAAATATATACTAGACATAATTTTACGACACAAATGGTGCAAATACAGCAAAAAGATTCCAGAAAAACTCATTTAACACTTCCCACTTACTTCTGAGTGTATTTGCAACAACCATGGGCAATCAAGGCCAAGAAGTGATGCCTGTTGCCTTTTTGCTCACTCTTGCAATGTCTGTCTGCAAATTCTTGAGAAATTACATAAAACCTCCCCAGAAATTCAGGTGGTAATTTTTCAGAGAACTAGAAAAATTTGACTGAAAAAAACTTGGAAAATTAGCTCCACAAGCAGATGTAGATTCTGTCTCATAATGATTTAAGAAGCAAAAACCATTTCTTTTCAAGGATAGTGCTTTTTTTCAGAATTGAGTTTTTAGCTTTCTCTTCACTTGCCAAGGAAAAGTCCAACATTACATGACTGTCTAACAGAGAAAAAGAGAAACTTCCAGTTAATTTCTACTTGTGCAGTAAAGTTCTGAACTTTACCCTGCATTAGGAAATTATTTGGCCCTAACATCCTCAAAAAAACTTCACTTTCACACGTGAGCTCTACATAAATGTACAAATATTCTGCTGAAAGCTAACTTTTACTCTGTATTGATGAATCAAATAATATATTATTTCTGACATATCTGCCTTATTTTCCAAGCCAAATCATGTATTTTGGCAACAGGTTTTAAATGTCTGACAATACATTCATTTGCGTATATTTCTTTTAACCATATATTCAAAAATATGACTTTGATATAAGGAATTAATGCATGTTTGGTTTCAGTTAGAATTTTTTTTCATCTAGGTTCACCTGTAAATAGCAGAGGCTGGGTAAGATCCTGTGTCATAACTGACCCTCACTCTACCCCGGTACAGCTCTACTGCTATATGATCCTTATCGCCTTTGTAGAGCAGGATCCCACTGTCTTCATCTGTGGCGATCTAGTAAAAAGAAAGAATCACTGAGAAAGAAGTAAAAATAAACAGCAAATAAAAATGCTGTATTAAGTGAATCAGAATTTACTGCCATAGTCTATTACTTCACAATAAAATTCTTCCTGGAAAGATAACCTGACAAATTTTGTTTTCTTCTATCACGAAGCATATCTACTTCAATATGAATAGTTATTCCAGTGATTTTTATCTCAAACTGTGAAAAGCTCTTCAAATGAATGAATAACAATTTTGGCTAATCTTCCACACCATATAAAGTAATTTACACTTTTTTCCAGGCAGTAATAGGACAAGGGGTAATGGGTTTAGACTTAAACAGGGGAAGTTTAGGTTAGATATAAAGAAGAAGTTCTCTACTGTGAGGGTGGTGAGGCACTGGAACAGCTTGCCCAAAGAAGTGGTAAATGCTCCATCTCTGGCAGTGTTCCAGGCCAGGTTGGACAGAGCCCTGGGTGAAGTGGTCCAGTGTGAGGAGTCCCTGACTGTGGCAGGGGGATTGGAACTAGATGATCTTAAGATCCTTTCTAACCCTAACCATTCTGTGATTCTTTGATTCCAGATCACAATCTACATCACAAGCAATCTTACCTGTAGAGTGATATTGGTTTGGGGGCGTATCTTTGCTGCCGGTATTTGTAGATAGGATTCTTTGTTGATGAAGTTTATACTGATCAGCTTTTCACATTTCTCTCCCTGGTAGCCTGATAAACACTGACAGATTGGTTCACTCTCTTTTATGATACACTGGGCTCCATTTTGACATTCATAATTATCACAAGGGCTGGTGCGAGGTAGAACCATTGGTGGTGAAAACTCACAAAACAAGCCACTAAATGGAAACAAAAAATTAGTATTGCCAAAAAAAAAAAAGGCAACTTTGACAGAAGGCATACATGTTTGTACTGTCTTCAGATTTTCTCACCTGTATCCTTCTGGGCAAATACATGTATATCCATTAACTGCATCAGTGCACTGTGCTCCATTTTTACATTTGTTGTCCTGGCAGTCATCGAAGTCAATATCGCAATGCTCACCTACATATCCAGGTGTGCAATCACATCTGTGAAACAGGAAAGCAAGTGGGATAGCACAGTGCTTATGGCAAAGTTAAGGAATTACTGAACTGTTTAAAACTCAAGAAAAAAAACCATTATTTTGACTTTTTGTGTAAAGACTATGTAGCTTAATCATTACTATATCAGGAATCCACACATGTGTTTGCTAATTACACATGCTTACTCATCTGAAATTATAGTGAAGATATACGTGTTTTAAATCTAGAGAGTCCTCATTACTAATTTTGACAGTTGTTCTTGAATTTACGAGTAATGCAGAATGTTACAGGACGTTGTAAGTGGCTTTGAACACTAAAAATAATCAATATGCTTAGTTGTTGAAGCAGAGACAAATAATCCTAAACTTTTATTGTACTGATATTTTCTTTGTCAAATGAACAGCTACACATTGCCCAGTGCTCCATTATACAGTCTAGAGTTTATGCATAATTTGTTTCCCCTGGAAGTTCCATTTTTTAAAAAAATAAGATGTATATAATTGATTTAATTAGATCCTGTGATTCCCTCCTTGGTGGTGTTTCTTTTGGTATCTAAAATTTTCTTAAAGTGGAAAGAGTAATTTTTAATAGCTGTGTAACTTTATTTAAAATAGTTCAATCAAATATGTTTTAATTTTTATTCAACAATATATACAACTAAGAAGAGTGAGAAAAGAATATAAAGCATGCTATTAAAAAGCCAAGATACATTCTTTAAGTTACTGCATGTACTGTTCCTGATTTAAAATCTCAGAAAGCAACATGGAGGATTAACAAGCTAGACAGTAAAGTATAAGATGCCAGACCAGGTTTACAGAAGTGGCATGCAGAAAATAAACATAGCACACAACAACTGAAATCCCATAAGTTTTCTATTTTCTAATTGAAAATGATCAACTTTATTTCATTTTTATTTGCATATTTTATGTATGATTTTTTTTTTGCTGTATTTTAAATAAAATGTCATTTCATAAATAGCAAGAATGATACTAAATAATCTGATTTTAGCACAAAAGCATACGGTGCATAAACCAGGTACTCTTGACAATTGAAAGCTGCAGGTTTCCTGTATTTATTAACCTAAAGCCTATTAAAAACACTTTAAATTGTGCATGTTAATTAATTATGATAAGGATATGGTCTAATTAAATATAAGTTTTCCTGGGGATGAGCTTCTATAATTTTTACCTTCCAGCTTGCCTTCCTAATGTTTTTTCACAATTACTTCTCAGAAAGCAGTATAATTATTCCACTTCAATTAAATGCAATTATTTTCCTACTGTCCAAGCCCTAAAAGGGTTTTGTACAGACTATTTCATAGACTAACAGCTCTACTCTGCATTCCTATTTAAAATCTGACTGGAATTAGTGGAATTGGGACTGTTAAGGATAACACAATTCTGTGAAACAGATTTAAGATAATAATGTAGTCCTGCATGAAAATAATGGCCTATTCTGCTGTAATGCTTAGTAATAACTGAAATCAGTATTTTGAGACTAGAACTTACTTCCACTAAAAGAAAATGAGAAGTTAAGCAGGATAAAAAAGCAGCAATTTAGATTCAGCTGGACTGTGACAGTATTTTAGACTTACTTGTATCCTTTGGGTGTCAAAATACACTTTGAGTCATGCTGGCAAGGATTCAGGTTTTGAGCACAGAAATCTAATTTCTCCTCACAGAGCTCACCTGGAATATAATGTATGCTTTCAATTCAGTGAAAATATCACTTGACCTGATATTTTAAAAGTAACTGCTAAAACTTTTTTTTGTTAACACTGAAATACTCATACTTCATGATATAATAATAAACAATACCTTTATAATAAATATTACAAAATATTAATACATAACAACAATAAATACTACTCTTTCTCATAACTCCTTTATAAAACTAAAATAGTTCAGTATCAATCAGCAATATGCCAAGCCATCAGTGTGATTTTTCTCTTACTTATTGCTATGCACATTACACAGAGAAATATCCAGGTTTAAACTATAAGTAATTTATTACCCCCAAACCCCTGTTAATATCACTGCACATCAATACAATTCCAATTATCTCCAAATGAAAACTTGATTTCTACTTTTTCTTAAATATGATTCTCTTTTTTTTGCATTTGTTAATGTGCTACTATTAAAATCTGTTGTGTCAAAAGTCAAAAAAAAGAATCTATGTCAAATGTCTACCCTTCCCTGCAGCTAGAAGCGGTGGCTATGATTTCCAATATTGGTATATAATCTAGGAAATATTTTAATATGGTTAAAATATGATTTTATTGGCAACTTTGTGACAAGGAAATACAGGTGTATAAACAGATCAACAATGTCTTGTTCCCTAACTAATCAGAAGATTCCATGAATCACTGGTTGTATCACAAAGTGTATCACTGTTTTATAAGATACTTATTCCAACATGCATATGAAGAATGTATGTATAATCAACAGGTATAAAACCTATGCCTGCTGAATTCAGGGACTCACAGGTCTATCAGACTCTAAAACTACAGAAGGTGAAGGATTGCCCCTTGTCGTTCGTCAAGTAATAAAACATGAGCTAGTCAGCAAAGAGAACTGTAAACCAAAATGAGGAAGAAAAAAGCAGAAGATAGCAGCATATGAGCAGACACCTTCACGGCTCAGGTTGAACTTCCCTTTAAAGCAGGATAATATTTGGAATCCTTCAGTTTTACTTATCTGAGCATGGTAGTGTCCTGCAGTATAGTTAGTTCAAGAATCAGTATCTGCTGGAGGGCAGCCTGAGATTAAAATAGCATATGACGGCTTTACCGCTTTTCTTAACACAGTACTGAGGGTGAGGACAGCACCACCATGAATATGGTATGAGGAAAGGACAGCCCATTTAGGGACACAATTTGGGTAGAATCAGGAACAGGCAGAATGGGAAAAGGGAGAAAGTTACAGGATAATAGTATTGGAATGGAGATTTTGGAGAGAGTATATACCTTCCAGAATACATACACATGTGAGTGTATGTATATCAGTTCATCAGTTACTACTGCCATTAAGCAGTAAGGTTTCTAACATTTTACACTGCTCCTTGCAAGTACCTAGCGCCACATAGAAGCTTCTTCTTGCTTACACAGGCTTCTCTGGAATTACAGAAACACACATCATAACAAACTGAGAGCAACAGATTTAACAGATCCTCCAGAGACATTTGTCCTTTCCACGGCATGTGTGCCTGCACTGTAGTGTTTAAAACTGCATATCATGACTATGAATACTGACTACCCAAGTCTTAAGACATTATTTCCAGGACTTATTTCTTAGGGTATGTAGACTTTATTTCAAATGATGGACAACTAAGCAAAAACTTAAAAAAAATTGAAGAACATTAAAGCAAAGACAGAGAAAAAGCAAAACTGAACCAGAGCAAAGATGGTTATGTTGGATAAACTGCATCTGAAACATGCATGCTAAAGGTGGTAAGACAGGGGACCTCTACATGAGATAGCGCATTACTAATTTGCAAGTAGTGCATTTTCCCTACAAAAACAAATAAAGCTTTAACACAAGAAAATGGCCTTCGAGCACAGGTTACTTAACAGTCTTTGGGAAAGCTGTCAATAACAACGTGATTTAGTCAATACATGTAGGAAACTGAATCAAGATCAAATGCAGGCCACTGACGATGACTAATACAAAGGATCTTAATTATATCCTCAAAGCCTCTTCAAAATCTGAATGGACTTACTAGTCTGGAAATGTGCAATTGTTATGACTAGGTCACTGCACAAAGAATCCTGAAATACCAGGGATTCTTTGCATCCCACTACGTATCAAATAAGAACCATATCCCCTTCACTTTTCAAGGGTTTTGTTCAAACAAATACAAATATAAGAGGTAGTAATTCTTCACATAGCATTTAGTCAATTTGCAGAACTTGTAATAGCTGAAATCCATTTAAAGGCCAGCAGTGTTCAAGAGTGAGACATAAATATGAGAACAGAAAATTCAGATTTTCAGGAACATGGAGTGGAATAATAAAAACATCACTTTAAAGCCTAGTTTGTGCACATTCCTATGGCTTAGAAATATATGCGTATGTCTGCACGTATGTGTATATATGCATACATATACACACCTCCATACAAATATCTTACGGCATATATTCTGTATTAAATTACATGCAGAACTACAAAATTTATGACACTCCAATTACAAATAATAAAAATGTCTGTTCAGTACTTCTGAGACTTGGACAAAAACACCTCTAAATTTTCCCCAAATTGCTGATTCAAACAGTGTATCAGAGACTTTCTGAAAGTGACCTACTGAATCTGTCTTACAAGCTGCGCTGGAGGTTTGCTGTATCTAGATAGATTCACAGTAGGAGTTCAGTGGAATCCCCCAAAATATGTAGAAAAAGGCAAATTAGGACTGGCATAACAGGAGCAAGTAATCTTACTGCTGCTGCCAATTTTACTGAACTAGCATTGATTTTGCTTCTGGATAGTAATCATGCCATGACTTACATTATTATTGGCTCAGACCTCTGAAATCTCTTGTGTGGCAAACAGTTTTACCAAGTAGTGTCTAAGCCTGTCCTTTTTTTCTTTTTTTTTTTTTTTTTTTTGTTTTTATTCTCCTCCTGCCGTCCAGGTACTTCTGAAATACATGATTTCTTAAAGTCACAGGTAGATGGCCCTAATAAACTGAAAGCTGAATCACCTCATGGAAAGCTATGGGGTGCTTGAAAGTCTGAATTCCCAAATCATACCTGTGAATCCTGCACAGAGACTGACAGCTAAATTGGAAATTTGTTGCAAACAGGTTTACACTTTTGAAAAAGGAAGAAAAGCTTCCCCTTGCATTTGCAAATTGTATGAATCATAGAGAATCATATCACTGGAGTGAGCTTTTAATTAAACAGTGTGTTAGCAACTAGCCTAGTGAATCAAGGAAAGAACATGGTAAACATGGCAGTCCATGCAATGAAATAATTCTGTGAATTCCCCTATGAACAAGAAAGTTAGTTTTAGGTTAAGTACAGACTTTCATTATAAAAAGTAGTATTCATGACAGACTTGAACACAAGATTGGTAAAAAAATGCCAAGGAAAATTCAAGATGGAATTTAAAATATGTACATAAGATACTGAATTTCTGAATGAAAATATACATACTAGAACAAACCAAAATAACTCAAATACAAGGTCTCCATTTACACTGTTAAAAGATTTATATTCTGAATAAAGTGTTCCCATAACCAAAATATAACTGCTTGTGAAAAAAGTAATAGAAGACCTAAGTAAAAATTTGTGACAATGGAGTCTGAACAACTGAAGAATAGCTTCTTGGTAAAGCAACATCTCTTAGCATACTGAACAACCAATGTGTTATTCAGAATTTAACTGAGACAAGGTGAAGGGGAGAAAGCAATTTTGTTGAAATGAAAAGACAGTGATCAAAGTGAAACACTCATTGAAAGAAATATCAAAATTATGAGTTAGGCTCGTTGGTTTTACTGGAAGGAAATCTTAGAAAGTCTCCTGCTTTGGGAAGCATAATATAATGTTTTAAAAACATACTTCAAAATAATGAAAACAGATTGTGAAACAAATGTCTCAACTCAAGGAAGCTTGACACCAATGTGTGAGTACATTCTTTTATTCATCTAATAATACTGTAACTGAGGCTTCTCTAAGAGTTGGGCTAAGCAACTATGGTTTTGAAAGATGGAAACATTTCTGTAGTTAGGCAAATAAGCAACAGATTAGTTTGTTTAAAAATAAGCAGTGGATAAAGTGTCAAAAAACCTATGAAAAGCTTCCAAAGTTTAACTAGAAACAGGAATAACTTTTTTCATAAAGTATCTTGCTTAATTAATCTAAGAAGCCTGGATTCTGGATTCTAGTAAAGAGTAGCACTGCAACCAGTGGAACTCTGCATGGTGGGCACAGTCCAAGGTCAAGACTGGAATATTTTCTGAGATTTTGCAGCCATATACAGAGGATGATGCAGACTCAAAACAGCCAGACAACACTATTAAACACTGATGATGAGTTGTGCATATTCCTTGGCGGAGTAACCGAAGTTTTAAGTTTGCTAGATTCACAGGTCAGTTTGCATTTCCTCTTATTATATTATTTATAGAGAGAATTAACATAATATAAATGTAATTCTAATGCTATAAATACTGGAACATGGTGATAATATGTCCCCTTCTTTTCTCAAGGCTGAACAGATCTTTAACTCTGGATTTTACAATATATAAAGACATGGAGTACAACAAATAATGAGGCACAATGCAATGAGGTAAAAAAAAAGGATTTACATTATTATTATTTTGAATAATTGGGCAATAAATTAAAAATACAGTCAAATAAAGCAATGCCAGCCACTGTATTTCTGAATGGAGACCTCTAACACAAATAGTTGCGGGCATCTGAATATAAAAACACACTGCTAATTACAGGGATGCTTACTGAAGAAACAAGCTTAAAATCACTAGTGTACTCACAAAGCTGGGTGTTATATAAGAATAAAAAATAGAGACAGAATGTGAAAGAAAGGATGGTCAGTTTTAATTATCAAAAACATGTTTTAGCTAGAAGATCTACTAGCCGTTCCAGAACTAAAATAACAAATATATATTACAGACTTACTGGTAATTTCTATAATAACAGGATTTTAGATGTATATATGTACATATACATACATACATTCATTCATTCCAGCTTCTGATCTTGATTGCAAAATACTGTGAGTCAGCTTCTGCAGTATTTATGTTCCATCAATTAAGTATTATTATCTGCATCTTTGACTGGAAGTCTCTGCTTAATTACTTTTGACTCAAATAGCCAATAAGACTGTAGGAGTGGTTGGAAAATGTCAGTGACGTTTAACACACTATATACAGAAAAGTGCTACATTTTTATGAAGTCTTGAGTTTGATAAACATTAGACAACATTAATGATTTAAAGTCTTAAGCTCATTCAGAAAAGACAAAAAAATCCAGAATGCAGTTTATAACCAAAATATAAACATTTTGTTGGCATTTTAAAGTAAAATTCTAGATTTGATCCATTGATGGACTGTTCCTTTCACTATTGCTTATGTCTGTTCATCTATTCCCCATGCTTGTGGATCTCAGTGTAAGACCAAGTTTATTTGGTTTCATATTTCTAGTTGTTTTACATACATTGGCAGCAACAAAGAAATAGCAACTTTAAGGCAAGTAAGCTTTTAGACAATTATGGAAAACAAAGGATGGATCGTAGACCAGAATCAGAAATGGCAATGATCAATAAGTCGCAGGTTTCAAGGACATAATGTGTAACTCTCCCTTTAGGAAAATGCAGTGAAATTACCTTAATACTCAAGCTTTTAATATAAAATAGTCATTTGAAATATATTAAGCTACGTGTTTTACAATGAATGATGAAAAGCAAGAGTAGCAAAGGTATCTCTGTAATCTAAGAAGCTGTCACACTTCAGTGCAGTTCTTGTAAGAATGAGGATTATGATCCTGATTTAATAAAATAATTAAACCTTTTATCAAGTTTGATATGACATGATTTACATTTGATTACTTGCATGCTTAAATTTTAAGCAGGTAGTTATTTCATTACCAAGTGAATTGAAAGTAGTAACTCACTCCTTTACTTTAGAAGCAAGAAGACCATATAATTAAGTTTTGAACATGGAAAAATACCTCTCTCTCTCTCATCTATCTATCTATCTATCTATCTGTCTGTCTGTCTGTCTGTCTATCTATCTATCTATCTATCTATCTATCTATCTATCTATCTATCTATCTATCTACTTACCTACCTACCAACCTACCTACCTATCAATGTCTAGGGCTTGCCTAAGCTGAGTAATTACTTAAAATTATCTCCTCACTCTTTATTTTCCTACTACCATCACAATTCAAAAGATGTCTGGCATGATAAAACTGACTGATCCTCAAAGCAACTTACAGATCATCAATAGCTTTTATGTTCAGCTGACAAGATATTACAAGTATGTGTCACATACACATCTGCTTAATTTTGTTGCTGAACTTATTTCACATTCCCTGGATGTTTGATATTTTTCTTTGTGAGGATTTTGTTCCTGATATAATCAGTAATTTTAATATGTTATAATTCACACGTGTAATACATTTACAGTGACTATAATTCTGTTTAGAATCATTACCTTTCTACCTTTAATCACATTTAAAGACATTTAAACAGCAAGACTAATCATACACAGGTAACAGTTGCTTCAACTTGAAATGGAGACTTGAGTCTCTTCATAGTAGCATCTTCCCTTTACATTCCATTTGAAAAGCTGTTTTTTATGTACACAGAAATTAAGTTTTTCTTTTGATTTCTTAAGGTCCTGTAATTTGCGCTACTGCAGATCAGTGACAAAAAAAAATATCCATGAATTACAGATGTTAAACTAGTTATTTTAATCTGGTTTTTTTTTGTTTTGATTTTTTTTAATTAAAACCTAGAATAACCAAGAACTCGATGTTTCTATTTATTTGTACCGAGCTTGCACTTTTCCTAGTTTTTCTAGGGAAAAGTACTCTTTTCTAAAATCAACCAGTTTCATACTAGGATAGTAACAGAACAATGTAGAAAAAAATAACTTAGGAAGTGACACGGCAAAAGAAAACAAGAGGCTTTCTATAAGTAATAATAAAATGCAAATATGCTAGCATGCCTAAATGGAATACGGCTTAAGTATGGAACACCTGTGGTTGGAATAATTTTCTGGAAATGTCTTGTTTTATCCATCATTTACAGAAATAATGTTGGCTCCCAGTTTAAGTTGGAAGAATTATTCATTAGATGTCTAAATTAATCAACATAGATGGTATAATTGTTGCCTTGCACAACCTGTTATTTCATGGATAATGAATATATTTTTATTAATAGTGAAATATTGCTTTATAGACTGTACAATATATTTATGAATTTAAATTAAAGGCAAATACACTACAAGATGATTCATTTGCTTTTAAAACTACATATGTAATTCCATAAATATATCATTGCTGACTGTGTTAGCTCTCAGACTGTATAGATGATCAGATTGTATCGAAGATGGTTTATCTCTTTTAGTGAGATAGGTGTTACGCAGAAACCTAGATCAGCAACACCCAAAATTAGTGTCATAAATCTCTTCACTACTACTTTTCTTGTATGATAGCCTCAGCTTAATGTGGTCATTTCAGTTTCTTCAGCTTTATACAGCAAAAAAGGCCACAGAAATGATGAGCAAGAAGATTGCCATTTTATACTCCAACATATTTTCTAGTACCATAAACTAAAACATTAAAGCAAAACAGAGCTATAAAACAGAAAATACATTCAAATGGAACCAATGTATCTCTTTAAGGTGATGAGAATAAAGATTTCAAAAGATCACCAGGGGAACTTTTTTGATAGTCCTATCAGTGACTGCACACACTTTTAGTACATCTGAAAAAAAAGACAACAAAAGTAGTATTACAGTTCTCCTGCACAGCAATCTGCACCTTCAATGACCTTCTTTTGACATGTATTCACAGTAAGAGGCAAGTGCCTAATTTGCGGATTTGCAGTGAGCTTTCTAAATTACGTCTATATACGATTTATTTGATCATTTGTAAGACCTAAAATCCATGCACCTTTAAGGAAAGGAAAGTGAGAAACCAAAGCAAGTGAAAATAGGCTTAAAAGACAACTGACCTTTTTCCACTTCATTCAGATTAGCAGCTTGCAGTGACAAAGACAGAAGAGACAAGAGACTTTTTACATTGTAATACAACAGCATAGCACATTAAGCTAATGCACAACTATAGCAGCAGAGAGGTTGATATAGCAAAATGAAGCAAACTTCAGAGTCTCACCTACAGCAGAGCAAAACAAACAGAAAAGGTAAAAAGTACATGCCACTGGTGGCATAAGAGAGGTTTTACTTCTGGATCAGTTAGATATATGATCTAATGACTGATGGAAATGGGCAAGAGAAATGATCATCTGAATCTACAGAATGTACATAAAATGACCTTAAGTTTACTAGACTGAGATTAAAATAAAGGAGATGACAACGTTAAGAAAATAGCAAAGTTAAAGAGTGCAGGACATAGCGAGGTATTTCTATTTCTCAAGGTTTCATCAGTCTGCTGATTCCATTTGCTTACTGTTGTTCCACAGTTGCAGTCTGCGATCTTAAGAAAGCTCACAGTACATAGTGCAAATATAATTTCTTTGTCTTTCCACCTGTAACTGTGGAGATAATTCTAAAATTTAAATGAGGCAGAGAAACATGGATTAATTCTCAAGCACCATTATAATAAGCTTTTTAGACTGCTTGCTTTTAAACCAACACTGCATAATTGAGAAGTGTCAATTTTCAAGGGATTGTTAGAAAAGTAAAAAAGCGATTGTTGTTACACTGCAGCATTTTTCATAATTTTTGTATGCATTTTCAGAGCTAATTTGAGATTCTAACAAGCTCTCCACCTGAAAAAAAAAGTTTTAAAGGAGAATGATACCAGCAGGTTTCATCTGACTTCTTCCTTATACTGTGCTATGAAATGTAAAACATATTTGCAGATAACCATTCACCCAGAAAAATATTCTGGGCTAGTGCACTTCCACGTTCAGTACATATATGCTGTGACATCTCGAACACAGACACTTCAAAGTATTTCCAACAGAATTAAAAGAGAATAGGATGAGCCTACGGTGGTATTTTCATGGTAGGTACACTGTCCCAGTCTGCAGCATCTTACAGCTCATTGACTTTTTTGAGCTAGAGATAAGTATCTCTGAATTTAAAAAATCTTTTTACCTGCTGAATATATAGCTTGTTTTCCTGATTGTTAACCAACTTTTACCCAGCTAGTACATGAATTCATTTAGTGAAAAATACCTTTCATAAAAAAAACTCATTAGCAATATGCATATCTGTTAGATATCTACCTGTTAGAACAAACACCAAAATCCAGACATTTCATGTTCCTCATGAAATTCCCTGTATCCATACTGAACAGGGATTCTGTTGTTTATCTTTCAAATCAGGCTATAAGGCAGAGGAGAAAAATTAAAAAAAATCCTATAAAAAATTTGGTACCTCATGCACACTTGAGGCAACTCTAAGGTTAATTTATATTCTGAACACTACTATTTCTAGGTACTGATGTGTCCAGACTACTGTCAGTCAAATTCTTAACACTGAAAGTTTTTTAATTATTATGCAAGATCAAGGATGATGGACATGAAGACCCCTTGACTAGCTCAATGATTTATATTTTCTGCTTATAATAAATCTCAAAAATTACTTAGGATATCACATATTGTGTCCTATCCTCATATGCTTTGTCAGACAGTATACTGTAGAACTCTGCATTGTATCCTGCGGAATGAAAAAAATGAACTTTTGCTACAATTTTTGCCCAACTTGTCTGCAAAATGAATTGGGGCTCTTGGTGTTGGACGTTTAAAAAAACACCTGTCTTTGTTTTGGCAAGGTGCTGAAAAAAAATTGATGAGATGATGTAAATTCTCAACATTTTTTAAAAAGCAGCACAGCTAAAATTACTGATTACAAGTAGATTGATTTATTTTATAGCTGGTGAGAAGATTCTTACCTACTCACATGACCTACTGACTTCTGTAGCAACTATGGGCAGGCATTGCCTCTGTAAAAGCAAATCTTTCTTTCCAAAAGAACTACAGTTAACCCACTTGCCATGTAAACTCACAGTATTTTCCTTTTAGAATTATGCACAATTATTAAGGATACATAAGGATATGTATTAAAAAATACATATCCTTGTGTTTTGACTAAAGAAGTACAACTGCAATACAAATGTCAAAAATGTTACCAGTGCTTATTCTCCTTTTCGCCCTAACCATGTGGACGTATGGGGAAATTCTACAATTGCTGTTCCAATTGATTATAAAACTTACATTTTGATTACAATATTACAGAAATGCAACAGGCACACTTAATCAAAGTTTAGGCTAGCACATGTAAAAAAGCCTTTATACCCACTCCATGGATATTTAATACAAACCAGTCTTTCCCACGGCATACTGTGAATATAGCAAGCCATTGACTTTACTGCATTGACATGCACTCACAATGTCAAAAATGAAGAAATGAACACAGGTAAAAATACCTGCGAAGCTGCAGAGGAGGAATGCACCTGAAAATCAATTGTTTGCTACCTAAAAGATATATGAAAGCTTTTAGCATGAAGCCACTGAACAGGAATACCAGACTGATGTGACTTTGATTTGCATTCTGCCAGCCTACCTAGTGAATAACTCATCCCATTTTTAAAGGAGATGGTGATTGATCCCAGGGGAGGTGAAGCTTGACTCACATGTACCTGAAACAGCTGTTGTCAGAGAAATAGCAAACACCCGTCTCATTGATGCTGTTACCTGTCATTTTCTAAAGCTTGAATTGCCCATTGCACTTAGGTATTAAGGTATCAAGCAAACCAGTATTTTGTGTAAGCAGATTATGCCTGTTCTTCCAGATGTGGATCATCCAGTTATTATTACATACCTTATTTTGGTTACTTATACTTTTAATCTCTATTGTTATACATACTATAGGTCATTCTGTATGGAGAAATTTCTACCAAATGTTTACCTATCATATGTACTGGATGAACACAAATGTTAGATTATGAAGTTGCATTTCTTATACTTCTGTTCTATCATTTTCACTCTCTATGGGTTTCCAAGATTTAAATATTGACTTTACGTCTGAATGCCCTAAAATATTTGAGCAATCCAGTAAGTTGTAGAACTAATGATGGAAAAACCTTGGATTAAACAGGAGTTAGCTGTGTTTTCAATAAATGAAATTAATTAAGAAGTTTACCTCTCCTCATAGTTTTCGACAGCTCAAATCTGATTGACTGATTAAAATAAAGATATAGGATGGCTGAGTAGAATTAATTTCCAAGTGCTGATGTATTTTACATTTCCTTTTTCATGCATTTCAAGTCATGGTTTTATGAATTTAAGCTCTGTGTTCTCCTAGTGGTCAACTAGCTGTCAGAAAATAGATCCGTCTAGTTAGAAAAACTATAAAACAGATCAAGGTAAACAATAGATCCTACTTTTTCTCCAGTGTTGATGCTCTAACTATCCTCCATTCCCACAGAGATGATGACAGCAAGCAAGAGACCCTCTGTGTCAAAAATAGGAAAATGCTTTGGCTTGTCTGTCAACTGATAGAAACAAATTAGACACTCAGTAATGAGTTGTTTTTTTTTGTTACGGTTTCTCTCTGTGATAGAAGAGAAAGAATCGCACTCTACATTCATGTTTCTAACGGAGAACAGGACAACACCCAGGGGTGTCAAATTCAGTTCCCTACTGGTACAGACACATCCTTTTCTGTATACAAGGTAAAAGCAGAATATTTTTCACATTTCTACACCTACAGAGGTTCTTCACTGGGATGTCTGGGTTAGGTATACAGTAGGGAGGGACAAATACAGAATCAAAATTCTATAATTTCAAAAGTAACAAAGGAATTAGTGAGTGGCCATTCAGTCTTCTTTTGACTATAAGCCATATAGGAGAAAAATATGGATGTAAACCTGGCTTTTAGTCAAGTATAGAGTAACTACTAATTCACCTACAAACTGAAAAAATATTATTGTTCTGCTAGGAATTCTTGAATCACTTGTACTTTCTCTTATACTCCTACCTGTATATTCTGGTGGACAAAGGCAAGTATAGTTATTGATTCCATCCACACAAGTAGAATTATTTTCACAGTCATTGTCTTCACAGTCATCAACATTTACTTCACAGTTTTCACCTTCGAATCCATCTGCACAAGTGCACCTGTAATACAAAAACAAAACTAACCACATTGACATTTTAGCTGGGAAGACCAGGCAAGAAGTTTTGTAATTAATAGGTTCAATAATTCATAATCATTATCCCATAAAGGAACACAGCTGATATAATATAAAAAACCAAACATAGTAAACACTACCAAAATAAATTTCGCATTTTAAATTACAGAAAATAAGCTTCTAAATTTATGCCTTGATCTTTAGCTTAAGGAGCTTCTTAAACCACTGAAAAGTCCTTTTGAAAAGCATGCTACCTTTATATTATAAGGTTAGATTTTATTTCTTACGGAAAGTAATCCTTTTGCTTTTTTTAAGCGCATGGAAAAGATTATGGAATCAGGGATTAGTATGTAATAGTAGTATTCCAACATCATTCAGTTAAATGCACCAATCTAAAACTTGGTTTAATGTCCTATGCACAATATGTGAAGGAATATATAAAAACTATGTCTGCCTGAAACTTCAAAGCAGTAATTATTTTTTGTTTTTAAGTATATCTATACAAAAAAATACATCAAAATAAACAGCAAATGCAAAAGAGCTCTGAAACATGACTACATGTATATTTTCACATAAAATGCGCTAACTATAATTTCTGCAGCTTTCATTATAAGATTGCTTTGATATTCAAAATAAATAGTGTTTAAACAAACAAATGGAAAAGGTCAAATTCTGAGACATGACTATGCCAATTTAAATTCTATAAGCATAATATTAAGATGTATACACTTAAGTTTTAATAGAAAACTATTTAATCTTTGGGCAGAATTTGGATTAAAAAATAAGATTAATGACATAATGAATTGCAGGATAATGAATTGCATCTTTTTGAAGTGTCATTTCTAACAAGCTTGAGGTGTAGATTATTAAATGACTAATACTTTCACATAAGAAAGCAAAAGAACTTTATTTCATAATTCATGAAGTACATCTGGAGTAATTGTACTGTGTGATTAAATAACTCAAGATTAAAAATGCTCACAGCATGTTTATCTGCTGGCACAGTGAGTTTCAGATGAATCATTAATTTTCTGTTTCACTGGGATTTACATTTTATCATTTACATGCTGTCTGTTGAAGTAATACACACAACAACAGATGAATTGTGAGGTTTTTTCAGCAGGGATCTAGCTAGCTATTAGTTAGCATAATGGAGTCAATACTGTGTTGTCTTGACCTGATATGCCTCCACTAATCACAATCATTTGTTACTGTTTTTAACAGTTTCAGAGCTTTAGAAGCTTTCCAAGGACAGCAACATGTTCTGAAAACTTCAGAAGCACTAAAAAATCTGCCTTTGTGGTGCACTCACTCACAAACACAGAGAACCTGAATATTAATACCAAAATTATTTCAGCACACAAAACTCCATAGATTTACATCCCTTTCTTACAATGAAAAGCAACCTACCAGAAACCATCTTTTTCTCCTTCTTTCAAATGACAGGTTCCACCGTGGTGGCATGGGTTACTAATGCAAGCATGAATGGGAGTATCACAGTCTTGACCCTATGAAGGGAACAATGATTATAATTTAAGAAGAACATACAGACACTACTGGAAGGGAGCCAAATAAACCTCAAGGGTTGTTAAGAAGCAGCTTACATTTCAGTGAGCTTTTTCCTCTTCATTCAGTACCTACCTTGAAACCATATGGGCAAGTACATCTATAGAAGTCAACTGGATCATTGTTGCAGGTTCCATCATTTTTGCATGGATTTGATAAACAGGGGTTACACTTAGCAAGAATATTAACATCCACAGGCCCTTAAAAATACAAATTAAATAGTCAGAAGCAAACAACGATTTATATTTGATAGGATATACTTGCCATTTTGCTTTAAATTTAAAATGAAATTTATGTTTTAGACTTTGTGGTGTTTCCATATGAATAAAATGCTGGACTGTCCTTAATACTTTTGAGATGACCAACTAAATCTGAATGGGATTCTTAGTTTAATTATCACTTTAATTATCACTTCAAGAAAAAAATAAAGCTTATCCCATCCTCTGAAATCTGTACAGTTCTCTTCCATGATGATTACCTTTCCTTTATATTAACAAAATGATGAATAGAATTGCAGCTTTAACCTCTTTAGAGGGTAAAAATTAAAAATTGCCCGTGAGAAAAAGAACTATCACAGTTTGCAGTCCTTCCCTAATGGTGTTACTGAAAAGACTATTTTAAATGTACTTTTAATTTACATTTTATTTGCAGGGTCAGAGATCTCTAAATGAACTGGTAAAATTACTTGTAAATTGTTTGAAGATCTGTGAACTGTAAATTACATTGTTCAAGCTATGTCACCGTAAATAGCTCTGTATTCTGCCTTGCCCCCTTATGGAGTCAGTCACAGTCCTGTCCATTAGTGCATTAGCTGAGCCCACAAAAAATGCAGGCTATACCATGAACCTATGGCTGTAATCCATGCTTGCAGTCTAGTTTTTATACTAGTGATTATAATGACAGAGTTCAGAAATTAACATTGAAAAAATCTTAGGAAGCCAGACTTAGAGCTTTGGCCTACATAAATCTTATCCTCATATATAAATATTTTTTAGACAATTATCTTTCTGTTGTTTTGCAATTTAAATACAGCCTTTTCATGGTGAATTTTCAAGTTAGGCACCATCAAATTTTATATTATTTTTTGTCAAACAACCAAAGAAATCACTGCTTATTTGTTAAAAATTAGAAATCACCCGAGTATAAATAATGTTTCTTTTTCATACACTTTGTGATAGAAAAAAGTGATAACTCTAAGAGAAAGTAGATGACTTGGCCAAAAGCCTATTCAGAGAATAATCAAACATTCTCTGTTATCTCCAGCTCTATTGCCTGATGACATTACTGCCTCCAGCTTGATTTCAGATCTCACCTATGAAAAAAACTTCAGCTATCCACAAGTGATTTGTACATTTCAAGGAATAATGAGTGATTTCTTCTAACCAGACACAGAGTCAAAACTCCTGAGACCTACTGGTAGAACTGCACGATTGTTCCATAACAGGCTTTACTCAAAATGAGACAGACTGCAAAGGTTTTTGAGCTAACAGGCACTTTTACTGAGATATAGGGCTTTGGGAGGTTTAAAACCTGGATATATTTACTTTCTTTTCTTATTTTTCTTTGCAAAAATAATCTCCGATGAATCATTGTAAAGGAATGGGCATGGAAGGAAGACATGATTATATGAATTCAGCAAGGGCTGTTAAACAAGGAGAGGTTGACATTTTATTTATCTGTTTGTTTATTTATTTTTGAATCTGCAGTTGCTGGTACCCTTCCGTGTCACAGCTTGCAGCAAATCCAGAGGGATGAACATGGTAATCTGTGATAAGATGCTTACTGCCAAAGCCACAATCTGTAGGGATCATTGACTGTCTGGTCTCCATTACCTTATTTTGTAAGAGAAATCTATACCTGATTAAAATTTCTGTTAGACCAGCAAACATCAGAGGTAAAAGAGTTGAAACATGCACCATAGAATTAAAATCTAGAAAGTCCTGCCTGTGTACTCTAGAGTACTGCTGATTATTTCTAGAATACATTAAGAGGTTCTATAAAAAAAATAAAGTGCAAGAGGCACATATTTAAAAACCAAAAAAATGGAAGCACTATGCTGTAGCATGAAGTCTATGCTTCCTTGTCTCAACCATTCTGAGCATCATATCCTCTTTTCTACTTCTGATGCAATAAAAAGCTAAATATTTGGCATGAATTAAAAAACATTCAGCAACTAATGTTATTTGCTGAAACAGATTAGCAATCTTAATTTCACTTCCAAAACAGAGCCAGAAAATGGCTACCTAAGTCTATATATACCATTCTATCTGAAGTTGGGCTGCGTTTATTTCAAACTATTATTTATATATTATCCAATAAAATATTTATTTTGATTTATTATTCTTCTGTTGCAAGATCAAAAAATTGAAATGCTTCAGGTATTTTTACTGAAGGCTAATGGAAAGCCAGTTCTGGTACATATTTTCATTTGCACTATACTGTTCCTTTTCTCTTTCAAAGTGTTAAAAGTCTTGTATATAAAAAAGCATTGGGTTCATAACCTATTATTTAATTTTTCATATTGTAGACATTGTTGAATAAGCCCTGGCTGGAAAAAAATCCTTAAAAAAAAAAAAAGCAGCATTCTTTAGTAAACAGTGAAAAGCTAACTGTATTTTACTGACATTGACACACACATGTAGCTACCATTTTCGAAGAAAACCATGACACAATTTTTCTTTTTCTACAGAAAACTTGCAAGAAAAACTTTCAGCTCTGACATTTTATTACTCCTATTCTCTCTTGCATTTGGCCTCAAAATCAGTATCTACACAGATTCACTTACACTAAAGCTGCTAATGAAATCACAAATTTTATTGCAATACAGTGGAAACAGTCATTTCAGTCAATTTTCAAAACTCAAACCCAGGCTTTTAAAATAAGAAAACTGTTCACACAATATGTTAAATGATATATCATGGGGACTCAGCTGTAAATTCATCAAAGGGGAAAACACACAGTAAACATGCATGTCTTAGGAAGGAGGATTGCTTGAGGTATACAAAAGGAAGGTCAGAAGGTCTGCTCTTAATCAGATCACCCATTCCAGGTCTACTTATAACCTTACCTGGTATGAGAAAACCACAAGGCCCTGGAATCTCTAGAGGCAGGGCATGGATGATAAAGAGGTAAAAGATTGAGAATCTGTTAGAGGCCACATAAAAGAGGAAAAAAAACCCACCCATAAATGTAGAAAAAAACCTGAAAGAAGAAAATACTAATAGATGATTCCTGAAGTAAAAGAACTCATAAAATTAGTAAGGTACAATGATTTTATGGAGCTGTAGGACTGAGAAGAGACTTAATTTTAAAATGCTTATTTTCACTGGGAACTATTAATTATGTAAATTAAATTCAAGCACCCATTTCAGTTTCAACTGAATCAAGAGATACTGATAAGAGGGAATGACTCACTACTCTCTTCCTATAAATGTGTACACAATAGTTGATCATCGACAGATATTCTAAAGAGTCGTCTCCCACCTAGCCTAAAATTTTGGTCCTAATAGGAATATAGCATCTTCCTAATTTCTATTCAACAGTTCATTTTTAATCAAAAGATAAAATTACTTCTCTTTGAGAAATAGACACATAATGTCTTACAGGACCATCATGTCATTGAAAAGCTACTGATTTGTAATCTGTAATTATGAGCATCTTCACAGGACAGTGGCAGGAAAATGATTTTCTCTCAAAGGTATCCATTATACCAGATATCCATGCCTGGAAGTGAAACAAATGCAGTTCTTACCCTGCAAAATAATATAAATGATATTTTCTGATGGGCAAGAGGGAGCAAGATATACTTTCTGTATTGTTTAACAGAAACATAACAATGACCATAGACAGTGGTGATACAGTGTCTAAAACTAACAGTGCTGGAAAATAACCAAGCAGGTACCACATGTTCATGCAAATATTCTTTCACTTACATCCCTACAACAGTGTGCAATTAGAGTGTATCTGCAGTAACCTTCAGTGGATGCTTGTAGCAAAAAAGAACAGATTGTCCAGCAAAAGTCCTATCTAAAATCAGACTGAGACTTTGCAACAGATGAGTGTCATGTGCAATGAACACTGGCATGACCTCAGAGATGTACTTTTGAAAAACTGCAAGAAGGACTTGGAGGGAGAAACAATTCATTGGCATCACAAGCAACAAAATGGGTTCCACTGGTTTTTGTTTAGAAAAATTTTTTTTGACAGAAAGCCAGAGGAGAGAAATAGGATGAACATGCAGTAAAGAACAACTTCAGATGAGACAAACTCCAACAAAGTCCCAATGGCTTTTTAAAGGTAGAAATTACTAAGGGATTAAGCTCACCTTTGAAGATACATTAACAGATGTGTAAGTTAAAATAACTTGAAGAGTACCTAGACTGAGAATAAATTACTTCTACAAGACTTAAGATTATATTCATCTGATGCCTCAGAAATCACTATGAGCTTAGTACTGACTTACTACTATTAGCACACATAAATTCTGTTTAATTAGTATTTCCTCGTTTAGTGTTTGGTTCTTTTTTTTTTTTTCAATTGGGAATTTCAATGTTTCAAAATCAGGACCATGAAAAATAAAGCTACAGCAGAAATCTTCTGTGTTTTCAAAATATTTAAGAAGGGAGAAATGGATGGAATAGAAGATTAAACAATAAAACAAGTTCTCTCTCCATGTCAGTAAAAAGGTACTTTTCCACTTAAGGTTCAGAAAGAGAACCTAGGAATTCACAGACAATACTATAAGTTGTGATATAAATGCCAGCATCATTGGTACAGACATGGAGATAAATACTCTTTGTCCAAACCCTGAGAAACCTCTCAAAACATTTTAGACTGAGACCTCTATAGTGGTATCACATCCTTTTACCTACAGGTTTTTTTGGGGTGTCTTTTACGCTTTTTTTCTGAAATACCAGAGGAAGCACTATGGACATATTGGTAAAATTAATTGCAGACTGAAAGGATTATGAATGTATTTACAGTTTTTACTGTGAACAGACTGAAGGAAAAGGACATTCTTTGGCTAAGGGAAGTACAGATGTTTAAACTGTAGTTCATGACCGAGACAGTACCAAGTACCTGTGCACATCAGTGTACTGAGAAGTACTGTACTGCTAGTCTAAAGACTCTTTTACTCCACTTATTTAAAAAGAAATAGGTATTGAAGTCTTTAAAATAAGTAGAGTTCCTGAATGGAACCAATGGCTACATCCCTAAATATGAGGGAGAATTATGACAACGGTGAGTGAAAATGCTATAGTAAGTGCATTTACAGCACACAAGAATATTTCACAGCTCAACTATTTGTAAAAATTAAAAATATACATTTCAAAGAGAAACAGTACAACAGTACCTTGGCAAGTGAATTTTTTAGAAGGAGTTGTGAGAAGAAGTTTATCTGCCATATCTCCGGGACCAGCACAACGTGCAATACCAGGCTCTTTGTATTCCGATTTTACCCAGTCAGATAGCCACTGCATGTTACAGTCACAATAAAGAGGATTTGCTCCGATAGCCCTGTAGAAAACAGACAAATAAAAAGGTAATAAAGTTTTAAATGGTTGCTTTTAAAAAGAGAAGCCAGAAAACTGGTTGCAAAAAATCCTCTCAAACCACAAATCTGCCCTCCATCCATGAAATGGACCATAAGAGCATAAAGTGTCTGGATTTGGGTTCTAAATCAAGAAGTGATAGATTTAGCAGTAAACTTGGTCCGCAAACCTAGCTATTCTTAGTTGTGTGAATGTGTGAACTTTGGACGTCTAATACTAACTAGCTCTGTTTCACTGTTGGTATTTAATGTCCAAGATCTGCATAAGCAGAATGAAACTGATACTGGGAAATTAAGTTAGCAAGAATAAAGTATTTCTTCCAAAGCAGCCAAGGCAACCCCACAGAGTTCCACCCTGATATTTTTCCTTTTCAGTTTATGGCTCCCAGGCTGGTGCAAACCATCTGTTTCTAGGCTTCCAAATTTGATTTAATTATTTCCTCTTTGGAGCTCTCCCACTGAAATCACAGCTATGTTCAGAATTCTATAAGAGGTCTCTGCTGTGTAAGTAAATAAAACTACATTATCCTAGCTTTGTGGTAGTTACGTAAGAATTGCCTCATTATGAATGCAAATCAATTTATTTAAATAAATACATTCTTTAAAATTAAAAATAATTTAGCTAGAGATTTTGAGAATTGTGTAAAGGCTTTTTAAATGTTTATTTGCGAGAAACTATACTCTTAAAACTGACTATGACATGTACATTTGGAGGATAGAAGCACTGTGCTGTTCTATAAAGTTGTATTCATATTGCTTTTAAGAAATACAGTAATAATCTAACATTCAACAGATAACCTTGACATGTGCACAAACTGTCAAATGGCAGTATTGGAACATTCTCCTTCTCCAGATGTTTCAGTACTTTTATTTAGATTTTTCCATGACTTTGGATCAATTGGTCTTCCAGTGATAGAAGAAAATCCTTGGCAGACAAAGGCAGTAGAAACTACCACTGCTGAAACACTCTCTTTTGCCACCTCTCTCAATTAGTGCTACCTACTTCCACCTGAACACAAAAGACCATATACACTTGTTCAGTCAGACTTCAGTCAGAGCAGTAACAAGAATCAGAGCTAGTGATAGGAAACTTCCCATGCAAGGAGAAACACCAGGAATTTGTTAACTCCATATATGCAAGAGTGAATGTCAGACTGAACAGATAACACAATTGCTCTGCTAAGATCAAAATGTTAGCAAGGATAGCTGGTAGACTTTTGGGGAAAAAAAAAACCAGCAACAATAATAAAATCTATCAATTTTTTACCGATATTTCATGCAGATAAGCTAGTTTAACAGTGACATTTGAATAAATTATCAATGCCTTAAAGTTTAATCAGTATCATTAAGGTTCTGAGAAATGGTAAATTAAATGCAAATGTCCAATATTGAACTAGAAACAGATAATTAAGTTTTTAACAACTGCAGCTGTTCAGAAACATAAACCCCAGCTATATATAAAGGCACTAGTCAACTACTCAGTTGCAAGCAAGGATTTAATAACTATTCATAAACACAACGAGGTTTACAGCTAGGTAACTTTTACTAATCTAAGTTTCCCATTGAAAATTAAAATCAGGACAAGCATTGCCTAAAATTGTGTTCTGAAAGCAGATGTCCATGTATTTAATTTCAATTTAACAGACACCAACACAGAACCATAGAATAATTTAGGGCACTCTGGAGGTCACCTAATCTCACCCTCTGTGCAAAGCAGAGCTCACTTCAAAGTTGCTCAGGGCTCTGTCTAGCTGAGCTCTGAAAATCTCCAGGGACAGAGATTCTTCCTCTCCTTTGGGCAACATGTTCCAAAGCTGAACCACCCTCACAGTGAAGAATTTTTACATTCAGTCAAATTCCCCTTGTTGCTGCTTGTGACTGTTGACTCCTATTCTTCACTGTGTACGTCTCAGAAAATCTGTCTCCATCATTGCTGTAATCCACCTAGTATCTTAAAGACTATTTTAGGTCCCTCCTTGGCAGCTTGCCACAGCTCATCTCATCCTGCCACCTTCCAGCCTTGCTTGCCCCTAACCTGGATTTGCCGATTCATACACATTGGCTTTGTACTTGAAAAACTGAACACATATTCCAGACGTGGCCGTAGGACAGCCAAGCAGAAGGGAGTGACCACTGTGTTCAACCACCTGGCTTTCTTTCTAATTCAGCCTGGAGAGTCTTTAGCTTTCACTGCCATAAGGGCACATAGCAGACATGTTCAGTTTGCTGCCCACCAGGAGGCCCAGGATTTTCCTGCTGAGCTGCTACCTCTCTGGCAAGTCCCAAGGCTGTACTAATGCATTAGCTTGTTCCAGGGCAGTCCTTTGCATTTTGTCTTTGTTCAAGTACATGAAATTTGCTAAACATAACAAAAAATATGAATACTCACAGGTGTGATAATGCTGAAAGATCATTAAAAGCTCCTTCAGGAACAACAGAAATATCATTCCCATGTAAAGACCTTAAAAAGAAAATAAACAAAATAATATATATGCATAAAAAACCAGCCAGTTAAATTTGAAATTTTCATCTATGAACAGTTTTCAACTTTTTACTTTTTTTTCTTACAATTCCTTAGTGTTTCCATCTGTTTTTGCATGGCTGTTTTTTGGTTTTTTTTTAAGCTCTGACAGCCTACACATCATTTAATTTGTTCATCCTGTATTTTAATAAGACCTGTTAATAATATGATTATTTTAAAATGGAAAGAAAAAAGGTGAGTAAAAGTAGGTACACTTCTGCCAACTACAGATTGGATTTAGGGATAGCAGACAAGTTATATTTCTGAATTTTTCAGCAATTTCTGACAATTTCAGCAATTCCTGAAATCCTGTTAATTATGCTCATACTTTTTTAAAATCTTTCATGGATTCACGGAAAATACAGGCATTGACTGTTCATTAATGAAAATATTAAGGTTATTGCCCTAATTTGATGGTAAAATTAAAGAACTAAAGACCTTATTAAGCATCAATACTGGGAATAGTGTTCTTCCTGTAGCAAACGTGCAAAGAATATCTTTCCTTTTCTATAAATTCATTCACTCATGAAACCTGACTTGGGAGTATTGTGTGCAGTTCTGGTGTCCTCAACATAAAAAGGACATGAAACTGTTGGAACATGTCCAGAGGAGGGCCACGAGGGTGATCAGGGGCTGGAGCACCTCCTGTATGAAGACAGGCTGAGAAAGTTGGGGCTGTTCAACCTGGAGAAGAGAAGGCTGCGTGGAGACCTCATAGCAGCCTTCCAGTATCTGAAGGGGGCCTATGAGGATGCTGGGGAGGGACTCTTCATTAGGGACTGTAGTGATAGGACAATGGATAACGGGTTAAAGCTTAAACAGGGGAAGTTTAGATTGGATATAAGGAAGAAATTCTTTCCTGTTAGGGTGGTGAGGCACTGGAGTGGGTTGCCCAGGGAAGTTGTGAACTCCATCCCTGGCAGTGTTCAAGGCCAGGTTGGATGGAGCCTTGGATGCCATGGTTTAGTGTGAGGTGTCTCTGCCCATGGCAGGGGGGTTGGAACTTGATGATCTTAAGGTCCTTTCCAACCCTAACTATTCTATGATTCTATGATTCTATGTATATCTAACACATGTAGAATTATGGTTCTTGAAAATATTCATATTTATATAAAATAATTGAAGTTATGTGAGCACACTTAAATAATGTCATGCTTGAGACATTTAATCCACCTAGGCTATTAAATGGTTATAAACTACTCAAATAGAGGCAAAAATTACATGTTCTGCTGGGGGCTTTTGAGAAAGAATTTTTGCAGTTTTTTTTTCTTAATGACAAACTGAAGCTGTAAACTAGAGTGATTGTTCTGTATTTTCTTTTGTCCCTTTCTGTGCCCTTACAACCCTGTTTTTCTTAGAGGTAAAATAGAAAGTTTTCTTGGAACCAAAACTTAATACTATTGATTTTTGATAATTCATCATGATGCAATGATTTTGGAAATACTCACATATTAAATGGAACAAGAAAGAAATAAATTTGATGTTGGAATAAAAAGAATCAAAATTCAACTGCAAACCCCCCTCATATATAGTGAATTTATGCATATGGCATTTCTGTTAGAATTTAATGCTTATAACAATGGAGAATAGAACACAAAAAAGAAATACAGCCAAGATTAAAAAGCAGAAAAGTACGAAGTGTAAGTCTGGAAAAATAGCAGTGGTTAAAAAATAATACTTACAACAATCTAAGTGATTTCAATCCATCGAAAGTCCGTGCAGGGATACACCTCAGGCGGTTGTAACTAAGAATTCTAGAAATATATAAAATACTGTCAGCAAGTATATCAGACATTCATTACACAATGCAGAGCATGATGAAAAACAGCTTTTGCACACATAGCTAGTTAGGAAACAAGTTATTTTACAGCCTCCAAAACAAGCAAGCTTTAATTCCAACTAAATGTCCTTTCTTTCCAAGACAAAAAAATCCCCCAACAAAACAACCCAAAAGCAGAAAAACAAACAAAAAAAACAACCAAAAAACAACCCATCAAAACAACAACAACAACCAAAAAAAACCAACAAAAAACAATACACTGTAATGCTTCCAAAGAGTCACTGTTACATGTTTAAACTTACAGGGTGAGCAGCTGAGTCATGTTGCTGAAGCTCTGATTAGAAAGAGTGCTGATTCTGTTGTTACTTAAATCTCTATAAAAATAAATGCAGAAATTCAGACCTTAAAATGACTACCTCAGTCCTGAAAAACTGTATTGTTAAACTGACACATTACTTTGATTAGTAGAAGCAGTATCATTGCTATCAATATTTAAAGCAGCAGATATTTTTATTTTACATGCCCAGTGAGTGTTTAGCTTGTTCAATGAAAAGCTTTTTCAATTCAACACAGATGAAAAAGCAGCACAATGCATTCCTGTACAACAGCAATGTCCATCATGCTACTTAGTTGATAATGCAATCCTCCGTTGACCCAAGTATAGAAATGAAAGTGATGTCTTAAAGTAGAAATCATTCTAGTTGTGTCCCTAATGACACCTAAGTAAATATCACGTAATGCTGTACTCAACACTGATATGCTTAAGGCATCAAAGCCCAGAGCTATTATTATAAAGACTACTATCTAAGATTTATAGAGAAAGCCTTAACATTATCTAGGTGTTCCTGCTCCGGCAGGCGGATTGGACTACATGATCTTTTGAGGTCCCTTCCAATCTCTAGCATACTGTGATACTGTGATACTGTGATACTGTGTGATCTTTCTTGTTTTTCAATATTCTAATAAATAAAATCTTAAGCATAAGTATGATGGAAGCTGGAGTGGTATGTTGGTAGCTTAAAAGAAGCTTTGAAGAAGCTGTATTAAATGTGGATACTGCTTGTTCTTCTCACATTGCGCTTTAATTTTCTTTTTATGTCTACCATTTCACTATTGTTTACTATATGGTGCAATACAGCGTTGGTTTGTGAGGAGACCTTGATATTTTAACTTCAGAGTACTGTTAAATAGCTATGCAACATACCTCTCTTAAAATTTCATGAAAGTGTGTAAGACAACTGACATAATAATAAACATATTGGGCAAGTATAACAGAGCGATCTATTCAAATGAGAAAAAAAAAGTTAGAAATAAACAAATTCCTTTGTTAATCTGAAACTCTGGAGATTTTAATGTAATTTCTTGTTTGGCCCCAGAAGAACTATGCATATGCATAGTACTGTGGTTGGAAAACCAGCTGAGGAACATTCTCAACTTTGTTAACAGCAGTTGGAGGATACATTCAGAAGAGACTACAATAATGTGCCCCACAGGTCTGATAAATTGAGGCTATTAATACTGGGTCTTATTTGGGGTTTTTTAGTGTTTTGTTTTTTTTTTTTAATTTACTATTTACCTATAACGTACTACATTATTTGTCTGCTAATTAGTTTTTGTATATTTTCTCATTAGGAGATAAAGTCAGCTGATTTCTGGCTGTCACAAATACACCATGAGTACCTAATTTCTGTGATGGAAGCCTTGTCACTATGCTTCATCTTTAGACATGTATCTAGTTTCCACTCATACTGTTACCGCACACAATCCACTCAACACATTTGCTTCTTTTACTGAGGTTCCAAAGTTCGTACTTTCTATGTGCTGCAAGTTATAACTTCCCAAAACAATCCATCAAGATTTCCTATAGATTCTACACTGTATACATTTGAGAATATTGCAAAGTTTTTTCCCCAATGTTATTTGCAAAATACAAAAGTTTTGGAAACTTGTTTTTTCTAAATTTGTGACCGTGACAACTTTTGTCTAGCATGAGGTAAATAAAGGAAATCAAGATCTTGGTTTTGAATGCCAAACCATTTTCAATTTTTACAGCAAAGCTCTAAACCCAGTCAAAAAATGTAAGGGATTTTGTTACTCCCGTCCACTTTTTATTCTGATTATAATGAAACCACAAACTGCTTTCAGAATGTTACACAGTTCAGCCTCAGCTAGTATAATTTTTTATAGTCCTAACAAAACCCATGGAATTAACGCCACTTACATCTACATTCTTCCTGTTTCTCTTGCTGTACTCTTACAAGGTACATAAATAAATAAATTTTAGAGTAGCTAGTGATTTGCCTCAAATCACAGAGTGAGTCAGCAACAGAGTTGGGAATAGGGCATTCTAAACAAGCTTTCTTCTTCAGTCATTAAACCATGAAGTGTGGGAGAAACAGAAGGGGTTACGTTTAAGTGTTAGAAGAGCTGTCTGTGCTATTCCTATGTGAAGCACACCACTGAGCAAAGCATATTGCAGAATATTTCTTTTGCAAAATAAATATTCTAGTGCCTTTATGGAGCTGGGTACAAAATGTTGTATTACCCTTACACCTTACCCTAATTACCCTAACTCACTAAGTTAGGTAAAAGATCTTACCTATCTTTTCAGGTTAACTATAATTTCTGGTTATTTACTTTATGATGTATCACTGTAATGAAATACTCCTATTTATAAAGCTGGAGAGGGACTTTTCATCAGGGACTGCAGTGACAGGACAAGGGGTAATGGGTTCAAACTTAAACAGGGGAAGTTCAGGTTAGATAGAAGGAAGTTCTTTACTCTGAGGGTGGTGAGGCATTGGAACAGCTTGCCTAAAGAAGTGGTGAATGCTCCATCGCTGGCAGTGTTCAAGGCCACACTGGACAGAGCCTTGGGCAACACTGTCTAGGTTGAGGTGCCCATGTCAGAGGGGCTGGAACTAGATGATCTCAAGGTCCTTTCCAACCCTAACTATTCTATGGTTCTACGACCAAGTGCATTGTAAATAAGTTGTGGTAAGTAGAATAAAATATTCTCTGTTATAAATTGTGGTTAGGTACAATATTTTCTGGAATACTTTTTTTTCTTTTTTCATTATAACTAAAACCAGGTATAATGAAGTAGCTATTTTGTTTTGTTTTTCATTCCAATAGGGACCGTTACTCTAAAACTACTTACATGAGTGTTAAGTGCTTGTAGTAGGAAAGCTCTTTTGGAACAAGGGTAAACTGATTTCCATCCAAATAACTAAAATAGAAAAATAAAACATAAACCATAAGTTTTTCATTAAAGCAGCAGCATCTTCATGCACTAATCTTATAATCCAACAGCAAAATTAATAACAAATAAATGCATACTATTTCTGTTTTATAATAAACCTATCTTGAAAATGTTGGGTTTTAGACACAAGTGAGGACCTGCAGTCTTAGATCCAAATGCTATTGTATCAGATATTATTAATATTATGAAGTAGCAGTAATACCAGCCAACTCTTACACAGTACTTTCTATTATTTCATAAATACTGCAAATGAGGCTGTTTCACAAATCTTACTTCTGCAAGTAACTTTAAGTGTGGATTTTGAGCATACTGTAAATGGGAACAGACCCTGACATTGTACAGGTAGTCCTTTACAGTAGAAACAGCAAGAGCTGGTCCCAGCTCTAACACCAAATTAATTTGTCATGCCTGCAGTTCAGGTCACCTTCCTTAATTTCTCCCTGTCTGTTTCATGATATATCAGGCATAACATACTATAAGCCTGGTCCTATGGAGTCTGTTAGGGACTAAAGACAGTAATCAATTACCCTTCATTAGAAATGTTAGATGCTTTTTTTTTTTTCCTCTTAGGTTTACAGCTCCTGTATTACATTGCTTGCTGTTTTTCCATGATCATAATTTTCAGTAACAGGCTTGTTCACCCTTAGAGTTAACAGGTACAGTCACCAAACTGTATTGACACCTGAGTTACAGGGAAAGGAAGTCATCAAGCCTTGCCTAAAAAGCTTTCAGTGTGCAGCTAGTTATTGCAAAGTGCAAGTAGAGGGGCTCTTCCTGTAACCAGGGCAAGTAGATTAGAGATAATAAGTAGTGAATTCACTGATGTGTGATTCTCTGAAAGAGACTGCATATGAAGCAGAAAGTGGCAGGAGGATTAAAAGTCCCTGGTTTCTAAACTGGGGCAAATGATTTGATGGCAGTATTGTGGTGGCATTACTTGTGTCTCCTGGAAACCACATAAAAACACATCCTTATTATTCCTATACAAAGAAAATATTTTAGCCATCCAAATAATTGGAGCACACTTGAGTTAAGAACAGCCTTTATCAGAGACATTCTTACATTAGTTATGATTTTAATGTCTCTAAGTATGCTGCAGCATCTTTAGAAACTTTTTTCTTCACTAAATGGATGAGCTGAAACAGAGTTAAACCAGTTAAACTTTTATCCTTATATCTACACCTAATAAAAAAGCTTTTTCTTTATTTTTTTTTCTTCCTTGGATCTTGCCTTCCGTAGGACTGTTTGCTAAAAACAAACGTGTCTCAACAAGTTTTATGCTTACACTATGTTAATGGCATTACATAACTGGTGGTGAAGAGTGCATGGGCTCGTATACTTCATTGTTAAAAAAGAAACAAACAACATTTTAACTTTTTGAAAATGAGTTAGTATTCTGAAAAAATTCTTCCATTGACAGATAAATTAGGATATATTGCTTTAGCGTCATTAGAACTAAAGTACTACAAGCATCCACTTTTCTGATAAAAATTCCTCCTTGTTCAAATGAAGCAACTATTAAGATATTTTATAAAACACATGAAGAGCACGTCTTGGAAGGGTTATGCATGCTAATGAACAAGAAGAATCAATCAGTATGCAACTGCTAACTGGAACCACCTCCATTATTCTTCTGAAAAATATGCTAAATTCCATGCTTAGACACTAATTAAAGCATACAAAACTGTACACAAGTGAGTTTTCAGTCACAGTCAGGGTTCCACTTGCAATTTCAAAAGTATTTCTCCTTAGCTATTTAATTTTATATTTCACTGATGCCCTTAAATTTCTTAGACCAGACTGTATTTAATTAAGTCATCTTCTATTAAAAAAAAAAAACAACAAAAAAACACCACCAAAACTTAATGAAGTTATAGGTTTATATATAGCTGTGTGCTAATTTGAGTTCTTAATAATTTCTCTTCATTAATGACTAAAGCTTTTTGGATATTATTAAACACCAAATTAGTGGTGGAAGTTTCAGAATCTTCTATACAATCCCAAATAGAAAAAGAATAAAACAGTTTTAGTGACTTAAGATAAACAGTTAAGATGTCTTCTGAAAAAGCACAATATTAATCAGTCCTTACAAAGCAGCAGGAATTTAATATTGAATATTTGCCATATGTAAAACAAACTCAACATTTTTTTTGCAATAATTTCTATTTTTTTTCAATCTTATGACCTATCTGATCAAGATTAAAAACAGATTAATAACCCAATTTTTAGGTTTATTTTCCCCTTCATAATGCATAAAAGTGAACTCATCTAATCTTATTCAGTTATTGTCCTCAAACAATACATGAGGTAGCAAGCTCTTTTTTGTATCAATGTTGCTGTCCATCTGCATATTCATATAATATCTCTTAATAAAATTTAATCTTAACCATTTTTCTCATATAAAAATGTATAAAGAGATTAATAAAATATCCCAGATTGCATAAGACCGCCTATATGAAAAGACTTTCTATTAAAACCAGTCTTTTTGAAATACCACAAAAGTGTGCTTATTATGAAAACATGCAAACACATGAATAGATTGTTTTCCTCTTTCTTTTTCATGTAATTGAACTTTTTTGTTCCTTCCTAAATAATGACCATAGATCACTCAGATTCACTGCTGCCCATAACTGAACCCATGACAACATGATATCCATGTTCAGATATGACAGTTCAGTGTTGGGGATATAACTTCTGAGAACGATTACAGTTTTACATACTTATATTTTTAAAGCTTTTCAGTAACAGATATTTACTAGAGTGTTTTAGGACTTACAGAGCATTGCTAATTCAAACTTAACCTCAAATTTCTCAAAATACTGTGCAAATCTTTATGTATATAAAGTCGTATAAAAATAAATATCAACTGATCTACTGAATCAAGTTCTTCACTTTTTTCTCCCGTCATCTTGAGCCTGATAATAAAAGTCTGATATTGATTTTCATAAAAGGGAAAAAAGCATGCACTTACAGTTCAGTTACATCTTTGGGGATGCCTTTAGGCAAAGCTTTTAAGCCTTTGTTGCTGCAGCGAACCACTGTGTCTAGACAAGTACATTCTGCAGGACAGCGGGACAGTGGGGAGCAGCTATTGTCATCATTTCCTGGTTAATAAAAACAAACAGATATTAAGCTTGCTATAAAAATGGTGCTTCACTATTAGCAATAATATCCCCCCTGGAATTCCTATAAGCAGACATGATATTTCTACATTGTGATATTTCTAGGTAGGGAAAACATTGTTATCTCTGTAATCCATTCCTCCAAGAATTTACATTTCAAGTGATGCTTATTTAGTACAATGCTGTTTTACTAGGTAAAATGCTATTATATGGAAAAAAAAAGATCATTAAATGAAGAACAAAACACAAAAAGACAGATAAAGCAAAGCATTTGTTGATTTTCAAAATGAACAAATTATTAAAAATAGGCACTATCTTTAAAGAAAAGTTACAGCCTTGAAAATTGACAATCTAATAAAGAATTAAATGGAAGCATGCCTGAGAAAGGTAGCAGCCTTTTTTTATTTTTATTATTTTTATTTTTTATTAAGCGTTGAGGATGTCACAAACTAAGCAAAATGGCATGTTATTTGATCAAATAACCTGAAAGAGCATTTGACTGAAGCATTAGCATTTACAAATATTCTCATCTGAACTACATATGTGATCCATGTATATAATTTTTATATTATCTCTAAATTATGATTTACAGTACTGAAGATAGGCAAGAAAAACTTCTGAAAGCATATATACAATAGCCGTGTTTCTGCTGATTATCTAAAAAAACAGGTGGAGGATTTTTAAGCTGATGTAGAATGAAGTGCAGATGAAGTAATTTAAAGCATAATTAATGCTTGAAATAACTATGGATCTGTGGGAATCATGCAGCTATATATATATATATGAAAGCTGAAATTATAAAAAGCTCAAATATTAATTTTCTTACCGTCATCACATGTAAAATCCTGAATTGCTACATCCTGAATGGGAATCTCTTTGAGGAAGTAGGGTTTTTGGCAGCGAGGGTTCCCTGTCACAATGCGTTTCTTCCTTAGCCAGTCTCCAAGCCATGCAAGATGGCAGTTGCAGTTGAAGGGATTGGCCAAGAGGTTTCTAAGAACCACAGGAAAGTTTACTTCAGATGACACCATTTTTTTCATCCTCAGTATTTCATTTCTATTTTCAAAAAGCTAAGCTTAAATACTGTTCTTCAAACAATACTGTGTATAAACCATAGGTGAAAGCTGTAATTTAGGCTCTGTGAATCTTGATATAACTCATTTAGAAATAATTTAAAACTGTCAAAAGACCTGACTTGTTGTAAAGCTACTCTGTACTGATAATGCAATAATTTTATATAGAGATGAGGGCTGATTACTTTATATTATTAGTTTCAGCCTGACAACAGCTATTCCATTAATTTGTCAACTCAGGATTGCCATCTTTTATTTGCTCTAGAGAATAAGTTTCCTATCTGAAGTGACAGCTAAGTTGATTACATGCCAGTTATAAAAATGAATTTAATTCTGGAATTCTGAGTACTTTTGGCATCTCCCTACTTCAGCACAAACCTATTGACAATTCTGTTATTTATAAACATGCCATCCTTACTACGCACAAAGTAGTTACTTGGTGCCAAGTGTCGCTTTTTATGTAAAAAAAGGATTAAGTACTTTCCCGAATGTTGCTACGTACGAAAAGCATTTCTTCAGTAAACTGAGTGGCAGCTTTGCTCACCATTTTGCCTTCCTATAAATTATATCATGTTTCAATAAAAAAAAGGATGCTTCTTTTTATAAAAAATTAGACTGAAGCTTCATTATAAAACATGTATGAATTCAAATCTTCTGTAGGCCAAGGAAGCTTAAGATAGTAATTTGATGTCACACGGCAGAAAGACAGACACATGGTGGTTCAACCAGCTCTGACTGTGCAATGCTTAAACAAAAGGTGGCTTTCTCTCCTGGTTGAGATCAGTGGGCTTCTGTTGAAGGAGGAGTTGAGCAGTACACTTTTCCTGCCTTCTCAGGCACTTCTGAAAATCAGTCTAGTGCTGCATTCAGGGGTACCATGAAAACATACTCTTAAGTGTCCAAGATAGTTCAGGAAATAAACTTTCTCCAAAATACTTCTTTGAACTCTTTCTTCCCTTAACTTTACCTCATGCTGTGAAAGTATATAGCAAACATTAACATAAATGTCCTCAGAGAGTCAGAGGTTCAAGTTCGGGTAAGGTAAAACTCAAACGTGTGACTCACAATGTAGAGAGCGAATGTAGTGTATCGAAGGAGCCGGGTGCCACGGTGGTGATCTGGTTGTCATAAAGCGAGAGCAGGCGGACTGAGCTCAGGCCCGTGAAGCTGTCATTTCCCACACAACTCACACGGTTACTCCTCAGCATCCTGATAAAGGAAAGATCAATATTTCTCATCGTACCCTGAGTAGGAGTTGCAGCTGAAGTGGTGACCCAAGCAAGGGCCAAGAGGAATGACTCCAAAGGGATTGCTACTGGTGGAGAAGCCACAAGTGCAGTGACCCCTGTGCTGCCCGTCACCTCACTTGAGGTGACTGAATGCAGTGTGCTTGAAGGAGCCAGGAAAACAGAAAGATAGGTGGGTAGGCTTCACAGAGACAAGGGGTGTTTCCCCTAAGCATCTGTGGCTTTTTCTTTCAATCAGTAATAAAGTTTATTAATTGAAAATAAATTAAAATTCCCCAAATTGGAGTTACACAGCATTCCCCTCTTTATGCTTCCAAGCCTATTGGAACCAGCTGGACTCCTCCTAAGACCCTTTCAACCTGATTTTTCTTAGGATGAATTCTAGAAGCCACTTCTACTACATTCTCAAGTGTTTCAATTAAATAAAATAAGGGTACCCTGACTCCTCTTCCTCATGACTCTAGGATCTAGTAAAAAATTAAGAATACTAAATAAGAAACAACTATCCTAAAATCTTTCATATTTCTGTAAAACTTATAAGCTTGGAAGTTTGGTGTTCTCCTATCTGATCATCAATAAATGAATATTTTCCCCCATGTTTTTGTCTAAGAATAAGTGCTTCTAACAATTTAACAGCTTTAAATGCAAAGTTAGAAATGATAGGCCTGATTTATTAAAAATACAGCTGAAGCCTAAAAGACCATTTAATCTCATCTTGGGTCTGCTGATCAGGATAAGCTCTCTGAGGAAGGCCAAGAAGTCGTAGATTGTATAAACATATCTTTTTGAGTGGAAAGAGCTAAACTGCCTTCATCAAAAGAATAAAATGAGCTCAAGCTATAGTGCTTTTACTCCTCTCTCCACTGTTGAAATGACATTAAAATTACTCAGGAAAGAATCATTTCCTCTATTTCAATATCCACCAGAATAATTTTTTCCTCTAGTAAAATCCCCAGGAATGGTTAGGCTGAATTGAATCAGACTCTATTACATAAAATGTGCAATTCCTGTGCAAATTTCTGTTACTTTGAAGCAGATGATTATTTTCAATTTCTACATTTGGATGTTTACCCATTCTCAACCACTTCATCATTTTAAAGGACTTCACTGCTGTAGTCAAGCAAGCACAACAAAAAATTTCAGCTATGTTATATCCATAATTAATAACTAATGAATTCATATAATGTAAGATAACATTTTGTTAAATAGCAACAAAAAAGTAAGATATGATTGAATAATCTATAACTATTCCTCAAAATTATTTTTTTAGGACAGATAAAGTATTACTTTTAAAAAATACCTGGCAGAAAGGAAGAATTAAACCACCCAAATTGTTACACTCACAGCGTTTTGAGACCCTCTAGTCCTTTGAACATTTTGTGTCGAACACTTTCCAAGCGGTTACTAGTGAGCAATAGTTCATTCACACCAGAGGCTCCGTCAAATGCTCCTTCTTCAATATCTGTAATCTTGTTATTGCTCAGGTTTCTATTACACATTAACAGAAACAGAGAAAAAAATGTTTTCTTTTTTGAGTATTCTAAATTAACTGTTAAATGCTGCAGACTGCATAGATTTTAAGATACCAAGTTATTATGTAAAAGCAACAAATGCATTGTTCAAATTCAAATTGACAACAAATGCAAAATTCAATGCCTTTCTACTAAAGTAGTGAAGATTTTTAAAGCAATCTTTGGAAGATGTTTTTAAATAATGGCAATTACCCAGTCCATGCTGCCACCACACAAGAACATCTTTGCATAGATTTGAATCTTATCAGTGACTGTATATTATTTTTGTGTCTCCAGTCCTTGTAGCATTATTTGACAAATTAACAACAAAATTAACAACTATATGAGCACCAGCACAACTATGTTTCGGTAGACACAAATATAAGAAAACAGTATAAACAGCAACATATGTAAATGAAATGTGTGAATGTAAACAGTACATGAAATGTTAATAATTTCTGACATTAGTTAAAAATGAGGGTTTATAAGCAACTTCGGCCATTTATCTGCAATCCACATGTAAAGCGGATCAAAATGTGGGAAAATGACCTAAAATACTGCCAAAATATTTATTGCCTACAGTTTTTAGTTGAACTATGGAAATTACATCCCAAATGGGTGGTATACATACAAAAGCAGGCATAGTCAACAACTCGCATTTACTTATCTTATTCTTGCCTCCTTTTGGTTTAGTTGTTTCATATAACTATACATATTATAGAAGTACAAATCTACAAACTAAACAGTCATTTTTAGAAGCTCTTAAAAATTTTTTGAGCCAATGTAAAATGAAGCTAAAAACCTTTCATTTGATGGGGCTAATGGCATTGGGAAGAACAAATATTTGATGCAACTTCTAGAACAGCATCTTAACTGTTCAAATCAAGAAAGATACTATCTCTTAGAACAAAAAAATTATATACTTGCCAGAATCAGCTGGTGACATTATCTAAGACATAGAAAATAACATGTTGTGGCTTCATCTTGTGTGCTGACTGCTCATCTCTAGCCTAGCTCTGATTTAATGTACACCTTGCCTGTGATGATGGACACAATTGCAGAGAATCATAGCATTATTTAGGTTGGAAAGCACCTTTGAGATCATCAGGTTCAACATAACCTAGCACTGCCAAGTCTACCAGTAAACCATGTCCCTAAGTGCTACATGTTCATGTCTTAAACACCTATAGGGGTGGTGACTCCACCACTTTTTTGGGCAGCCTGTTCCAGTGCTTGACAACCCTTTTGGTGAAGAAAATCTTCCTAATATCCAATTTAAACTTCCCTGAAGTGACTTGAGGCCATTTCTTCTTGTCCTATCACTTGGTACTTTGGGAGATGAGACTGATCCCCACCTCACTACAACCTCCTTTCAGGTAATTGTAGAGAGGGATATGGTTTCCTCCACGGGGCTAAACAACCCCAGGTCCCTCAGTCACTCCTCATAAGGCTTGTGCTCTAGGCTCTTCACCATCTTCTTGTCCTTCTCTGGACATGCTCTGGTACCTCAGTGTCTGTCTTGTAGTGAGGGGCCCAGAACTGAAAGCAGGATTTGAGATGCAGCCTCACCAGTGCTGAGTACAGGGGGATGATCACCACTGTGGTCCTGCTGGCTACACTATTGCTGATACAGGCCACAATGTCATTGGTCTTCTTGGCTGCCTGGGCACAAGCTGGCTCATGTTCATTCAGCTCCGTCAATCAGCACCCCCAGCTCCTTTCCCATGAGCAGCTTTCCAGCCACTCTTCCCCAAGCCTGGAGCCTTGCATGGGGTTGTTGTGGCCCAAGTGCAGGACCCAGCACTTTGCCTTGTGGAACCTCATACAATGGTCCTTGGCCCATTGATCCACCTGGCCAGATCCTTCTGTAGAACCCTCCTACCCCCAAGCAGATCAACATTCCTGCCCAACTTGGTGTCATCAGCAAACTTACTGACTGTGCACTTGATCGTCTCATCCAGATCACTGATAAAAATTTAAACAGAAGCATCTCCAATACCTAGCCCTGGGGAACACCACTTGTGACTAGCCGACAACTGGATTTAATTCCATTCACTACCACTTTTTGGGCCCGGCCATCTGGCCAGTTTTTTACCCAGCAAAGAGTACGCCTGTCCAAGCCATAAGCAGCCAGTTTCTCCAGGAGAATGCTGTGGGAAACAGTGTCATTTAGTTTCACTGTGAAGCTCTTCAGTCTCCTCTAAGGTGCTGCACAAGACTGTAAGCAAGAAACTCAATTATTTCTCATGTCATCTGGTTTATCTGTGTCAAGCCCTTAGTCTCCTAAAATCTTACTTGTTCCTGGTGTAACATGAATACTACTTCACCCACTTCACAGGGATATTTTAAGGATTAATGTTGCATAACTAATCAATGATGCAGTCCATACATGTGCTTTATGACTGATGAACCATCAAATCAATTAAACATTTAGGCCCCAGTTTTTCAGTGACATCTGTGCAGAAAGACCTTTGCACCTATTTGAACCTCCAGAAGAAATATGAGCTCCACAGAAATACAGAATTTACTCATATTGGTTTCTCTGTAACATCAGTACCTCACTGATTTCCAGTCACACTTAACCAGTCACTGCATTATTCTCTGAAATGAATAATGTTGTAATGACTGATAAGTATATGAAGTTACAAAGCAGTATTATTCAAAATGTTAATTTTTTGTTAATATTTTCTCAAATTTTTCCTTCTCAATTATGCAGATTTCAAAGCTCTTGGAGTTCTGGCAGACAGCTACACTGAGACTTTAAAATTTTCTTCCTTTTCTTTCTCTTGACTTGAACACCTCCTCGGCCAAAAAGCAACTAGCTTTAGATGACATTAAATGTTTACTAAGCTACCTTTACAGCCTGAAAATATGTAATTACTAATAGTATACTCTCTTTTCCTCATTTTTCTTATAAACGAAGATCTGCTATATCTGTGTGCATGTGTAAGATGGCACATCATGTATTTATTTCAAAGGTATTCTGCAGGTGTAAAAAGTGCGAATATGAGATCATTGACGAATAAAGAAAACTAGGTATCTACTGTTAAACACCAGAACACTCCTGTGCCAGACATTCCTCCTTTCTTAAATACTTAAGCCCAATCGTAAATGCCAAGATGAACTCAAGTAGACAGGACAAAAACAAAGTTGATTTTTTTATTATTTGTTGGTTTTGTTTAGTTTTTCTTTTTTTTTTATATTTGTCTTCTAACTAAAAAAATCAGTAAGAGATAACTGTGATCATGACAGCTGCCAGCAAGGATGTGAGCAAGGCTAACAATTTTTTAAGTAATACTATTGCTCCTCTTGAGAGTTTGGTCACTAGTGACATAGACTGATCTTTTACAAATAGTAGCAACTTGGTGTCTACAAAACACTGCATCATTTCATTAATCTGAACTATTTTTACTTGCATTTATCTTCGCTTACTATTTATGCTTGGATTTAATCCTGCAAAGATTAAGCACAGAGTCACTAAATCTAAATAATCTACCTTCAAATATGTCTTTTACATAAGCAAAAGAAAAGCTTTTCATAGATTTATTTTTAATAACAACTACAAGTGGTAAGATTATAAACTCCTCTTAAAACATGAACTGTGAACATGGACTTACATGGATGAGCTATCAACCATTTTTTTCTCAGTCATTTAATTTTGATATTCCCCTCATCTAATGACAGTTTAATGAAGCACAGAATCAAAGGCATGTCTTGAATATGCTGAAACAGGCAAAATTGTCTGGTAAGGGAGTTGTACAAGAAGCTACAAAAGATTACTGGACCTTTGTTTGAGCAGCTTATACTGTGGGCTCCCTGCTGTGGCTGCATAACAGACCGGCTGTCCAGACACCGGAGTGAAAGTGCCAGAGCTATACACCATAAGAAGTTTTTGCTGGCAATGCCTAGTGCCATAGAGAAGAGCTGCCAGCTCTGAGCTATCTCAGTGATTAATTTAAACCCATTCTTGATTTTTTTTTTATTAGAATACACTGAATCTTTTCTAGATAAGAACTAGGGAAGGTGGAGAAACACAGCAAGGAGCTAACATGTTTTGTGAATAGACAAAGTCACTGCAATTACACTTACATTTTACGCAGCTGAGGAAGTTTCTTAAAGATTCCAGTAGCTTCCAGGACTGAAAATTCATTGTTATTTAGTCTCCTATAAGAAATGACATCAATTTCAGAAAAAAAATATTTAGGCATTGGTACAGAATTTTAGACTCTAAGTGAACTTTTCAGACTGGTTTAACTGTATAGCTGGTGTTTAACTGGTAGCTGAAGAACAATTCTGTATCTAATGTTGTCCTGGGTTCAGCAGTAGCAGAACATTTCTAATTCTGATAATTCTTGTAAATAAAGATTCTCATGAGTTAAACTTAGCCATACATAAGACATAAAGAATCAAAACCAGATCACAAAATAACACACAACTAAAACTGCAGAGAAATATAAGGAGATGTTTTTAATTTTTCTTTTAAGGGAAGAAAAACTAAGGAAGGTTTCAATTCCATGGCAACTTACAAATAAAAATCTTTAAGAAGCACATATAAACCACTGAAGATTAGTTTACTGTTCTTTAAAGGATATCAGGTGGGGTCTGCCAGACATCTGGAGATGCTCACAGAACACTGTTTACAAGAATGAAATAATTACCTTATGCTCAATAGTTCGTTTGAATAGGGTTTGAAACACCAAACATTTTAAAACACGTTTCTGACCATGGTTTATCTTCAGACAACCACACCTAACCCACATACATTGTGTAAGGAACCATTAAATGCTGATTTGTAGCAGTACAAGAAGGTATGCAATGAGCAACAAATACTAGCTGGATACTGATCTTTCCTGCCCAGGTATCAGAGCTGTTCCAGCGTAGTATACTTTTAGCAGCTGCTACATTAGGGGACCATCTATATTTCACAAAATATCTGCACTGACCCAGTATTCCCTGCTTCCTCTCTTGAATGGAAAACGGAAATTGAGTCTTAGATTCTTTATATGTTTTAATAGACCCATCTTATTAAGGAAGAGAGTCTGTCCAGCTTTTACTTCAAAATCTTAAATAGGAAGGAAAAGACATGCCTGAGAACATTACCACAAAATTCAGCATAATTCTAAACCCAGAATACTTTTCAGAATTGCCTTATTGCAAGACAATATTAAAAAAAACCCATAGAAAATTAAAGAAAGCTAATCATTCATCCTTCCTTCCTGCTCATTCTCAAATGATAGCCAGAAGGGAAATTAAGGTTGTAAATCTGAAAGTATGGCTGTATAATAATTTAAGCACAGAACCAAACAGAGAAGACAGAAAGAGGTTTTTGTGGAACATTTGTATACCACACTTAAGTACAAGGGACATGAATTTCAAATGATGCTACCAACTCAAAAATCCACTGAATGACTTATTGTGATTTTTAAGAAAAGAAAGGCTACCTAGCTGCTCTTCTCCTATATGCATGTAGATGTTATGAACTGGAATCACAGAGCGGCCCTACAACTAGAATGGGAAGTCCCAAGAAGAGCATCAAAGACCAGAAATAACAGAAAGAAAGAAGAGAAAGACTTGCATCATTGAGGCAAATACTAGAAGAGTGTATTTAGCTAGAGCAATCGGATTTTTACAGGAAGTAAAAAAAAAAGGCAGAAATAATTCCTTTATCCCCTCTAGAATACTTGTGAGGCTGTTGAAGTTTTTATTACATTAAAAGACTCGAAGAACAATCTGTACAGCTTATGAAGAAGTTGGTTTAATAGTGACTATACTACAGTATAAGACCATCTTACTTGATAAAGTGCTGGACAGAAAAGAGCTCTTTGAGGGCAAAAAAATATAAAAGAAGCAATAACGGAAACTGAAGAGAGGCAGATTCCATATGGAAGTAGAAGTTCCCACTTTAAAAGATTTTAATGGAAGTGAAAGGAGATGATTAAACTCTGTAACGCATTTAGGGAAATGGGGTTTTAATCCATTGACACCTTCAAACAAGACTGCATCTTTTGTGAATGAAGTGCTGTAACCAAATATGAATTTTGTTTTAGTCAAACACAATTTCTTTGTTGACTGAAATTTGACATTTTAGATACACAGCAGATGAGTTTTGATCATTTGTTTTTTCTGAATTTAATATGTATGATTCATAATTATAGAAAGAAAACACTTGACAGTTTATCTTCCACATGTAAATATGAAAACAATTAAAATATTACATTAAGATTATTACTTCTTCAGTGCAGAGAGAATTAAATATGAATTGTGTTAAGAATCAAGACAATGCACACTTGTCACTTCAACAACTCCATTTCTCATCTCTTGGTGCAGTAACTATATTTTTATAATCATTACTTTATGATCTCCTACACTTTAACCTGTAACTTGTTTTTAAGTCTTCAATTTAAGTAATTTTATCTCAAAATATTATAGCATAAAGTAAAATGTATTTATCCACTGAAATCTATCTCCTTTTACACAAAACTGTGTAGCATTTTTTTCTTCTCTGACACTACTTTGTGAACAATAAATCAACAGCATGAACAGCATGGCCAAAAGCTGAGTTTTGCTTTTCCCACATATGCCACATTTTCAATTGAAATCGCCAGGCTTGTAAAGGTGCTTCTAGACACAATTAGAATTAACCACTCAGATTTGTAATTAGAACATCACTAAATTCAACTCATTCTCCCAGCTCAGAGACAGACAAAAATCTCCATCTCTCTTTACCCATATTTCAGTTTCAAATTCCTTTTGCTGTCCAGATATTCAAAATCCTTAGCTATAGTCTCATTATTTCATACCTGCAATGCTGTACTGTTGCTTTGATGCCAGCTGCAGACTGATTATCTTTCAAGAGATATGCTATACTGTTGCTCATTTCACCCTCTGTGTCACAACTTGATCACAGTACTCCTGTCTCCACATCTCTGTCCCTGCTTTACTACGTCAAATCAAAGTCCTTCTATTTTGCCCCTAAACACTCTGCCTTGTTCTTTAAAATGAGCGTTCTAGGAAAAACAGCTATTTCCTCCTGCTTTTGCTCTGTCAGTGATGGACACTTTCATCTGCCTTTCTGATGATCCTTCAAGTATCTCTGTGTTCCCTTTCATACTATGCTTCGCATGTGGGAAAACCTTGTAAAGCTGTCTTAATTTTACCTTTCAAACCCTCCTTGAAGACCACTTCAGTTGTAATGCCTACAAATCATTCCCATATGGCACTTATTAAGCAAGTAATAATCTGTGACTTCTCTTCTGCTCATATCTGCTCATTACATTACTATCTCAACTTCTTAACTCAACTCTGTCTTGTTTGTCTGCTTTATCTTCCTCTGATCTCCTGCCTGACATACATAATGTGTCCTCTGCATAAGAAGAACCATTTTTGTTTTATTAAACACCTAGGTAGTACTTTTTAAGACAGACCTCTGGTTGCTGGCTGTCCTACTTGCTCTTGTAGTTAAAATAAAAAGCAAAATAAGCCCCATTACCTTTGAAAAAAAATCCAAGTGGGTAGCTCATGTACTGAAGAACTAGAAATATAGAACAGTTGCCTTATTTTTTTATCACACATTTTTAAGGCTATGTGGTATTCAAATGATGTATAAATAATTTTTATTAATATCTAGTCCTTTGAAGTGCCTTACAGAGGGGCATATACACATATATCTTTTTTGCTCAAAAAAGTAAAGTTGTGATTTTGTTTTGAATATTTTAGTTAGTTTTTCCATAAACAAATAGTGCTTTAATATGGGTTCAACTTACAACTCTGCAGTGTACTGGGGGATATGATCAGGAATTTTGTTCAGTTTCTGATTGGAGCAGTCCACTGTGGTCCCTTCACAGCGACATTTCTCAGGGCAAGCCAAATCTGCAAAGCAGTCTCCGCTTAATTTGGATCTGTAATCTTCAGTGCCTGTGGAAGAGTCAAGTCAAAATAAAGATACTGAGTCAATAAAATAGAAGATTTGCTTCTTGTGAGAAGGCTGAAAAGATGCCTGCAATGCAGATAACGGGTGGGCAACTTGGGAAATGTATGATAAACTTTGTGATACTGAACAGACAAAAGGGCTTCAAGAGAGGGTTAAATATAGGGGCTCAAGATATGCTGGAAAAAGAAACTGTGACCAACTTCACATAACAGGATAACATTAACTTGAGCTTTTCACAGCTGTACTTTCTGCTGATTATGTTGTCAGCCAATCTAGCCTTGTTTATAACTAATCACACAAATGCCACTGATTCTTTTAGAATTTATTTTCATTCTCTGTATGAAGAATAAATAGATCCTGAATGCCACCTTTTCTCTTTCTCTTGTTACAAATTTGTATTGTTGACTGGGCTTCTTTTTTTTTTTTTTTTTTTATAGTCTCGATACTCCACATCATCTCAAACACGTAAGACTGAAAACCCTGTTTTCAGCTTTAATTTAAAATATGTGTGATCCTGACTTAAGCCTCAGCAGCTTGCCATGCTGTAGAAAGCTGCGTGACGTTCCATGGTGCTTGACAGAACCATGTTTTACTCATACCTCACAACCACATGGTTAGATCAAGCACAACAGAAAATCTCGCTACATTATCAAAACTGCATCCATTAGGCCAAGGGTAAGAGCAAGGGAAAAGAGTAAGGAGTAGGTAGGTATAAGTTACAGAAGCATTTGAAGTTTAATACTTGCTTACATGACATGGAATTCTTATTACTGAATGTCCAGTGCCACGGTAACAGTATTAATGTCACAGATTAAATCAAAAGTACAAAAAAAGAAAAAAATTAAAAAAAGAACCACATTTAAAGTTTCCTCCACCATTTCCCAGAGTCAGTCAAAGAAAACGTCCTAAACATATTGGAAGATTCGGGAGAAAACATCCAGTAAGGAACTGAGGGTGGGTGACAAAGAAAACAAAGAAAAGCTGAAAGGACCTGTGGGTTCTTCTTGGACAAAGATGAAAAGACTGAGACTAGTAGAAGGTGCATCAGGGCTGGGAGGTACACTGTGATTTATCTCAGACACTGAATTTTACTTACAGCCAAAATGGTGAACTCCTGAAAAAGTAAAGATAGCCAAGAAGGAAAGAAAGACAGTAATCCCAATTAAGACAAAACCATGAACTAAGCTCTCATGTTCTCTACTCAACTTTACTTTGATTAGAAGATGTTGCTAGGGAGTACCATCTTCAGCAGAGAGGAAGAATAATTCATTTTAAGTGGCATCAAAAAATGAAGAAAAGATTGGGGTTAATTAAAGGTTTCATATAGGATGACAATGCCTCCCATGCATTATTCTTCACTATTTTAAATGAATTCTTTGAAAGCTGCTCCCTTGAACACATACACATGCTATGCCACTTAAAACCTGAATAAACCGAAGAAAAGTAGGAGAAACAGATTTCTCAGGGGAATAAAAAAACCCCCACAACAGTCATCACATGTTATACTATCTAGCATTTAAATGTCTTAAGCACATATAACAATGTGGAAAATTTCTAAGAGCTAGCAGACAGAATATTATTTCAAATTAACGATTTAAGGCTTGTATAATCTTCTAAATGACTATAATAAAATTCTACCAAGACTTCCTAGTGTCTGCAGAGCAAGATCTCCCAATGACATATTTAAAACAAATAGTAAAAGAATTGAATTGTCAGAGAAATTATAACATTTTAACAGCATTTACTGAAGTGTAAAGAAGTAATTTTTAGCACTTTTAAATACCCCAAAAGCAAGCCTATGAATATATTTTTTTTCTTCCTGTGTCCAGAGAAAATCACTTTTAGAAGCTAAACAACTAAAATATTAGGGGACAAGGTCTTCAACAACTAGAATAATTTTATGCAGCATCTTCCTCAAACCCAATAGAGAGAGAAAGCACAGCAATTGTATTTCAAGAAGCAAGTCTGTAGCACTTTTTTTCTCTCGCCCAGGAACAGCATTTTTGAAAGGGTACGTAAACAAACCTAAACTGCATGTGTGGTCACATTATAAACAGGCTGTGAAGACATTTGCTGGCAAGAAAACGCTTCTAACTCAGAGACAAAAGTTGTGCTGGCAAGGTTGAGTAGTAGTCACTCTGTGGCAGGAATACAGCTGTTTTACTCATTAAGGGATTGAGTGGTACTACAGGTTTGAGAAATTGAATCCCCCTCTGGTTTATGCTGCTTTAAAACACATTTTCGCGGCTGCCAATGCTGACAAATTGCTGCCTTATTTTGTATTTCGTCTTTTCTTCATATTCAAACCAGCTTTATTAGTAAAAGGGCACTAAAGAATTCCAGCATTGCTTCAAATTTAAGTGATACATCACACAGCATTAGGATAAGAGCTGTTAAAAACTGGCTTAAAAGACAAAGAATAAGTAAGATTGCAGAATGACAGTATACCTGTAGTACTTGAAAGAACAAGTGCACTGGTGTCATAATCAGTTATTGCAGGTATCTTTCTAGATATTAAACAATGGTAGAAAACCCTGCCTGCAAATTACATAGTGCAATTCATCAATAGATTCATTATTCACTTTTTTATTTTACCAAACAATCCTTATAATCATTATGTTAGGAACATAATGCAAGTCCATCATTGTTTTTTTGTTTTTCTGTTAAGAAATCAGTGCACACACCTGACAAGCAAGATAAAGCAAAGAAACAAACATATTTCAAAGAGCTAGGGCCAACATCTGTAAATCTTTTGTGAAAGTATCATAGACTCATTGCAGCTTAAAGCGGTGTGTAAACTGCTGTTTCACCCGAACTCTAAAGTCATATTGTCTTCAATGACAAACATTTTTGATTCATTGTGTGCGTGTGACCACAGAATGCCTGTAATGAAGAATATCAGCTTTCTTTTCCAAGCATTCTGCTGTGATTTTGTAAACATAAAGAGGGTGAGGAAGCAGTAGTTGCAGCCAGCGTAGAGCATGGAAGTAAGGCAAGAAAATGTTAATATGTAAAACATTGATTTTTTTAAAGTTGTACTAGCTCTTTGATGGTAGTATTTTTTCCTGCTTTTAAAAGCAGCTCAGGAGCTACATTTTAAAAACAGGAGTGGTAGGGAGGCAAGGTACAAGGTAAGTAAAGGTGTCAACTGAAATATGAACTAGCAGGTGCAACCTTTTAAATAGTTTAAGTAGAGGCATAATTTTGGTAGGTTGTGTGAAATTTGTGAGACAAAAAAAGTAAGCGGAACTGCATGCTAGGCTCATATTCAGAAAACAGAACTATTAGTAATCTACAAAGGAAAAACTAAGTCTAGCTACAGGTATTGACTAAAGTTAATACACATGCATCAGTTTCTTAAAAGCTATAACAAACTTTGCTTTTTTAAGGGAAGGGAGAGAATATCTGCAGTTAGTCAATCTTACTGCAGAGTCAAACCTACCTGGAATGAAATACTGTTCTTTAGCTAAATAAAGAGAAAAAAAAAAATAAAATAAAAACAGAAGATGCACCTGAATGTCAGCAAGCAAAGGATGAGTTTTATTAGATTAAGTATGGACTACAGTTAACTACAGATAAGCGAAAAAATGTGTATTCACAATGAGAGCTGATAACAACGTGTGAATAGTCATAAATATATCCGGAACATGGGTAACAAACAGTTCTCAGCTGGTGTTTGCACTCGAGACTGAATAAATTGCAGAATGTGAAATGCACCTGGAACAGCTGGATACCATATGACAAAAGTTAGGATTTAAAGAAATGTAAGTAGGAAATGGAATAAGATTAGAAAAAGAAAACAGTAAATTTCAGTATGAGGTAAGCTCCCTGTATAAAATGAGTATGTCATGTTTCCATATTTAGCTAGAAATTTTTAGATCTTTCACATACTCCAGAGCCTCGTGGAAATTCTTCCAAAATGATTTATGTCAGTGATACTTGTAGTGAATAACTTTAGCATTTCATTCTGAAGTATATATTGCGTTTCTTTTGTTAGATTTAATGTTACTCAGAAATAATGCCAAATGTATTAACTAGAGTAATGTTCCATGATCCAATAGTCTATGACTTCCATGATTTCCCTCCTTCAGTCAAAGAACTAAAAAAGATTCTGCAATGTTTAATAATTCCGTAGAGAGCCAGCTGCCTTCATTAGAACTTCTATAACCACTGGTTTTGCCAATAAAAGAAAAATAGCAGCTGAATTAAGAAAATTACCTGAGCAGCGGAATTTCTTGCTTTTGATCTGGCCGATCCTTTTGTTTGCCAGACGACGGGGGCTGGTGCAACGGGCACCACTGGTCTCAATGGGGTTTGTATGAAGATAATCCGCCAGCCACTTCAGATGGCAGTCACAGATAAATGGGTTCTGAGCCAAATGCCTTTCATGAAGAAAAAAAATTATAATTTCACACATTATTTCCCTTTGGCCTCAGCAGTTCTCAATAGTTTTAGTACATTGTAGAATATGAAGTCATACTAAAGACAAATATAATCAAGAGCATACATACAAGGTCTGAATTGCACGTAGGGGTGAGAAGGTGCCTTTTGCAATTGTCTGAAGCTTGTTATCATACAGGGAAAGAAGATTCAGGTTGTGAAGATCTTGAAAAGCATCAACTCGAAGGCAGTTGATCTTGTTGGCATTCAATAATCTGTTTAATGGAAGAAAATTTTAAAATTGAAAGAATTCACTCAGTGTCGCTGCAGCTTCAGCATCTGTCAGGTATATTTTGTGCTCACTTGTAACCAGAACAAGAGGTGTAATATCAAATATTAACTGACAGTGACATAAGGCATTTCAATTAAATGAAATATCTTATTTAGGTGATCTGAAATGATTCCTAAATATTTCCACCTTGGAATTGAAAAGAATGGGGTTAGTCAGCTAAAATAAAATCACTTGTGAGTGCTGGTAGAATGTGTGTGTGGAATTTGGCTGTGGAAAAAAAAAAAAGGAAGAGAAAAAGAAAAAAAGGAAAAAAAAAGAAACTAGCTTAAAAAATCAAGTATCTGCAAGGAAAACTACTTCCTTTTGCCAAATAAATAAATAAACAAACAAACAAACAAAAACAAAAAAGGAACTGAACACTGTGTTCATTAGCTGGAAGAGGTGTGCAATGGCATTTTTAATTATATGTTTCTAATCAGCATGCTGACACATTAACAGAGTTGTAGTAAAAACTGGTGGCATGGAATATATCCAAATCTGTCTTGGATCCTTTTTCTTCTCCATCTTCAAAGGGAACCTTTTCTTCCCTGTACCTCCCAGACTTCTAAAGCTAAAACAAACAAGGCAATTTAAACCAACTCCTTCATGTTTTTGAAGAGGAAAAAAAAAATTAAAATGTCATCCAACGAGATGCATTTTTATAACCATTTTTAAATCCAATTTCCATCCAGAAATGGAATAGAATGGTAGATTTGAAAACCAATGCTTTGATAAAAAGTTTCAGCACACAAACAGAAATTTACTTAAACTGAAATTTATTGTCTATGCAAAGTATATCAAGCTACGGACATTCTTTAAATACAGAAATTCAGAGATGGCTCTTCCTTTTTTTTTACAACGTCTGAAGTATGGTTTTATAGCTAAAATCTAAAAGGAAAACAGGTATGTGTACCCCCCCCACCACTATACTAGTTTTTGACAAAAATAAATAAATATAAACCTCTAGGTGGTGCTAGAACTTGCATTTTCTCTGTATTACTGATCCATCATCTTCATTGAGTTGTTAGTAATGGACATTTTGGTGATCATTACACAATAAAGTCTGGACATTAAATACTTTTAATCAAGTGAGAAGAAGTTTTAAATTCTTTAAGAAGCTTTAAACCAACAAGTCAATTATTCTGGAACAATTTAATCCAAAAACACCACTGTTGTTTTATGGCCTATTTCACAAATTTCTTTTATGCAGCACATCTAGAGTACAGCCTCTTCTAATGAACACTGACAATATTTGATAAACATATCACAATGTCATTTTTCTTTATTACCAGTATTAAATCTAAATAGAAATTGTTTGTGAGATTACACATGGAAATTTTCAAAGTGTTAAATTACACAGCAGCTGGAGTTTGAATTGTATAGAGATGAGTGCCAGAAAACATTAAAAGTCATCAATGAAACTATGCTGCAACTCTGTACTTCCACGGGTACAACCAGAAATACAATTACACAGCATTTCTACTACGTCCTTTCTCTGTATATAACACACAAATATTCCTTCTGTGGTTCTCAGAACACTTAATAAATACTAATTTTTGTAAACAAGGCAAGACAACATCATATCTTATGTATTTTATCCTCATAAATTCTACACAATAATAGTTTCATTTTGTCATTTTACGCAGAGACATGAACTGAGATATGATCAAATTTGTAGATGAATGGCAAGCTGGCCTACAACAGTCTTGACTCCTTTGGCTTTAACATAATTTGATTTTATTATACTCTGATCTTACAGATGGGATTTCCTGCCAGTTCTTCTCCAGGCATAACTCTCTCATCATGTTTACCCTTCTGAATTATCCAAAAATAGAATAAATATTAAAAAAATACTCACAGCAGTTGCAGAGAAAAGAGTCCTTCAAAGAGGCCCTTTGGAAGTTCTGTAATTTTATTCCCATAGAGGACACTGTAACAGGAAATAATCACGCATACAAAGCCACTATTACGAAAGGTATATACTGTGTGATATTGACTTTTAAAATAAAGGAAGTTCTGAGTTACTGAAGGGAATTTAATATCAACAATTTGATACTTGCAAGATCCTTGTGGTCCTGTGAGGCAGCAGGATCACACATTTTCCCAAAAGGTGCGTTGCCCAAATAGCTCTTAGCAGAATCAGCACCTCACTGTTTACAGCCTTAACAAAGGACCTTGGTAAGTGGATTTGGTGTTAGAAAGAATGGCTAACTGGGGAATAAAAGAAGTGTTTGATTTTGTTCAACTCTTTACCACAATCATATTTATAAAAAAAAAACCCATACATTTTTAATGTCTAGCTGCGATGCTGCATTCAATTATCACTCCAACATTCTGAAATCATTTTTACCGTTTTCAGAATTAATCAAATTTATATCAAAATTCTGCAGGGAGATGAAAATTCAAGACAATTGCACTATAAGAATATGAGAAATTTGCTTTTGTTTTTATAGGTCAAACATATACCTACAGTGAATTGAGTGAACGTAAGCCCTGGAAAGCATCTGGAGCTGCTTCAGAAATCTGGTTATTGCTCAGGTCACTGAAATAAAGGAAGTTTGATTCAATTAATTCAAGCTATTCTCAACATAGCAAATGTTCAAATAACATGTAATTAGAATTGGACACGGAAGGGAGAGAGATATTAAAATATTTACATGAGACACTGACAAACAATTTTAATACAAAACCACTAAAAGCCAGTACACTGAAAAAAAATGCATGGTAAATAATAGACCGTTCAAATGTTTGGGAAAAAAAAAAAAGGACAAAAAGATTTACTTTTCCTAACTGCTTAAGTACACTTTAGAAAGAATTGTTTGTTATCACAACAGAGCTATACAAACTTAAAGATATTCTGAAATAATAGTGGCTTATCCCCATTAATTTATTTGTTTACAGAATGCTTGCCACAGTAACATATTACTTCTATGCAGAACCATATATCTAATAAATTCAATACTTGGTAAAAAAAATATTAACTTGACAAATATGCTATACAGTCTTACTGTCATGGTCAAACTTTCTTAAATGCTCACACATTGACTGCAGTTCCTCTGTATGACGTCGACTTGTCTTTTATATGCTGATATATATATCCTGTATGAAGATAGGCTCAGAAAGTTGGGGCTGTTCAGCCTGGAGAACAGAAGGCTGCGTGGAGACCTCATAGCAGCCTTCCAGTATCTGAAGGGGGGCTATAAGGATGCTGGGGAGGGACTCTTCATTAGGGACTCTAGTGACAGGACAACAGGTAACGGGTTAAAACTTAGGGGAAGTTTAGATTGGATATTAGGAAGAAGTTCTTTACTGTAAGGGTGGTGAGGCACCGGAATGGGTTGCCCAGGGAAGTTGTGAATGCTCCTTCTGTGGCAGTGTTCAAGGCCAGGCTGGACACAGCCTTGGGTGACATGGTCTAATGTTAAGTGTCCCTGCCCATGGCAGGGGGGTTGGAACTGGATGATCTTAAGGTCCTTTCCAACCCTAACTATTCTATGATTATATATATATATATATATATATATGTATGTGTGTGTGTATGTATATATATATGAAAATGAAAAAAAATCTAAATTATTTGGTACGTACATTCTTCGAAGCTTTTTATATGGTGAGAAAGCTCCAGGAGGTATGACCTTGATTGAATTTTGTTCTAATCGTCTGAAAAGAATAGCAACAACATAAAAATACAAAACTCAAGCCAAACAGCAGTGTAAAGACATAACAAACTGGAAGGGACAGACTTTAACAAAGAAGGTTGCTTTTGCTTTCTTTTTCAGTATAATTTTACCTTGAGAAACAAGGTAATTTCCTTTTAGTTTTCATAAGAAAAGAATAATATTTTGTCTCTGAAACCAAACTCTTTACTCTTTAGAGTGTAATGCTATAAATTAAAACCCAATCTTTGCATCTAAAGAAAACTTATTTTGAAAGCATGCAAGGTTTTTGTAAAATTTAAGCTAGATCTGTCATTTAAAAATTTGAACTTGAGTTGGTGTTAATTGACTCCTAATGTATTATTCACATACAGCAAGTTTTATTTAGAAACGTCTAAAGACTTGTGTGAGTTAATCATTGAAATATGAAAACCATAGGAAAGGGGAGAGGAGCATTCCTAAAGAACAAATAATGTATGTTGCTACCTGCAGTAAGGCAAAAGCCACGTTTTTCAACATGCACACATGATTTCTTTAGATACAGTATGTAACACATTTTCTTTAAGACATAATACTAAGATTGAACAGGCACACTTCTAACTTATTTAAACAAGTATTTTAATTTAAAATTGTAGTTTATGTTACTGGCCATATTTGCTTTGCATGTATAGGAACTGTGACTGAAACTTGCCATATATCAAAGTGTGAACTTCCTGATGAAAACAGTTTTCTAAGAATTTTTTGACCTTCCACAGCTTTGCATATGGGAGATCTATGCTGACACAGACCTATGGCCCACTTGCCAACAAGTCAAGACAGATTTAGCAATGAGCACATTTAAAATAGAAGCTACTTCTTAACACACCATAGTATTTCATGGTTATGGCAGTGTAAAAATTCTATTATGTAAACATAAGCAATGAAACTGTACTGAAAAGTACAACAGGAAAAGGCAGCATTATTCAAACTACTTAACATGCATCTAAAAAGCTTTCTCTTTCTGTCTTTCATGGACAGGCACCAACCCTATGATCTACATACATAAAGACAACGCCAAAAATCTATTTCATATAAGGAATCCACATTCTGTAGACTTTATTGCAGTGTTTCAAATTACATCAACATTGACCCCAAATTAAACGTTAATAAGCCGTTTTACATTTAGATGTGGGAATATTAGCCTGTATCTTTCCTTTCAGCTTTGTCTTATTAACTCTCTTCTGTTTCACTTCTGCTCTGATAAAGAGACATATAAGTCTCTGGGTATGCAGTGTAACTAATAAGCTCCTATACTCACTTTGAGTAAGCCTTTCCAAGAAAGTGTTCTTAAGACAATTGTATCTGTTTATAAAGCTTCTCCAGCTATCATGGTACAGCTGATCTGAAGAAAGAATTTTTGCTGCCTTTGTGAAGTTTTGTTCAGATGGAGATATTTACACATTTAATACTCAAAATCTCTTAAGTCTACACATGCTTCACCTTAGCAGAATTTATTTTTGGACGGTATATAAAAAAGCCAAGAAAAAATCCAAAAGCCTCAAAATATCTTCCTGACACACAGAAAATCGCACTTCATCAGAGCTGTTTTAGACAAGGTTCATGTTTTAAAAATGTCCTTAACCAGGAAAATGTTGCCACCTTGCTACAGTTTTCAGGTACATTTTAAACACTGCAGGAAATCCCATGGCGCAAGACTGTTAACTTTTTTCATAAACCCAATATTCTTTCATATGCTTTCTTCACCTTGGCTGAGCCTTTTGGACCCATGAAACACATTTTTCATTAGACCGGAAGTACTGGCTAGGCTACAAAGGAACAAGGCAAATCTTCTCCAGTACACTTGAGTAGGTGCAGAAGGTGAACATCTGAATAAGTAAAATCTTACTTAAGTTAAATGTCAACACCAAGTTAGACCAAACCAAAGTATTCTGTTCTTACACTACATTCTTAGCTTAGTTTCCCCACAAAATAAAGATTATGCATGCTTATCATCTAGGTAGTTTTCTGCTTGGCTGGGTAGGTCAAAGAGAGGTAAAACCTTCAAATAAAAAGTTTCTAAACATTCCCTTATTTTAGCAATGGGAAGGAGTTGAGAAACCAAATAACCCAGCCATGAAGGGAATCCATCCATTCCTATTACACACTCTATTTGGCAGGTACCAACTGCCTAACCACCAGGGACAGCCTCACCAGACATTTATCAGATGTGTAGCTTTGAAAACCAGCCAAAGAGTATCTTGCACAGGGAAACACATAGGACATATGCAGAGACTGGAAAGGGGAGGAGGGTTAAAAAGAACAGGGAAGGATTAGGCCACATTGAAGGACATGAATTGCTGGAGAGAGAGAGAGACACTGGGGTGTCTCTGGGTATTATGGAAAAGACAGATATTACAGACAGATGTTGCAGTGGCAACACTCCCTTGTGAAGCTGACACAAGCCTCATTTATAAATGCTGCTTATTAGCCTATGATGTAGAGATTTGTAACCTAGTGCTAGAGGTTCACCTATGTTTAAACACATAATGTTCTTAACTAGACATGTAACTTGAGAAAGACAAGGTCTAGAGTTAAATAAAGACACAAAAGCATTTTCCAGTTTATTCTTTTAATATAAGATGTATTAGTTCTATAAACTGAAGTACCTTACAGGATACATGTATGCTATTTTTTATTAAAAGATGGAACAGCTGATTTCATTTACTGCTGTCCAATTTGTCTACAAATTATATGGGTCAAAAACCTGAAGAAGTAAGTCCTACTACACTATATTTCTGAAAGCTAGTTTTCTAGTAGTTCTAATGGAGCAAGCTAAAATTCACTGGTGGATATGTAAAATGAACTCCCTGTCAACTTTACCTAACATTTCCTTTTAGTGAGAAATTTATAGTCTAATAGACAGACTGTGCAGTGCTGCGATAAATTTACAGGCTCTTTTGGATAAAGGATTTGTTACAGTAGGATCATCTAAGTATGTCTTTTCTTAAGTCACGCCATGATGTTCGCACTAAAACACATCACATTTTACAAAATGTGATTAGCATAAGAAAGGAAAAATAAGATTATATAAATGCAGAAGAATAATCTTTTATACCCCACTTTGTCTGTAAAGAAAGTAAAACAAATCCACATTTTCAAGCATTGTTATCCTCTAATCTTTGGCTTTATCTTTCTAAAATCAGCTGAATTTCAGAGTAGAAATTTGCATCCACCATTCCAGAGAAAATATAATTAGATATATTCCCGGGTAACAAAGCACAGATAGACTAATATCTAAAGGAAATTTGCATTGTCATGATAAACCCCATAGCAATTAAAAATCCTTTCTATTAATCCTCATATTAAATGAAGCATTTTTAATTCTGGAATAGGATGGGTTGTATCTGGTACTGAAAACATCAGCTATTAGGTTCTCAAAAATGACATGGCCAGAAGTACCACTATATCACAGAAGGACAAAAAGCTAGTATCAGTATTTTTCCGTGGAACTTGTATTAAATTTTATGCGCAACATCTCTTTTCAAAGTTATCCCAGAAGTCACTCTTTCTTATAAATGATCATCTATGTATCATAAACAGTGCCTTAGTGGTTTCTTTTTCAAAAGCCACAGTCAATTTCAGTAGCATATTAAATAAGATAAGGATAATGGAGGAAGATAGTTCAGTACACATTTCATCAAAGCTTGCACTGCCTCATGTATAAGAAGTACTGTGCCCATCACCACACAAACACTAATTAATGCTCTTAGTATTAAAGTCTCCTGCTCCTTTTAGTGCTTCACTTCAAAGAAGTCCTGCATCAATACATAAGTGTTTCACATCTTTTAACAGTGCCAAACTGTTTAAAACCTTTTTTGAGGACTATTACCTAATCTCTCTTATCTAGGAAATGTACTGTGAACATTTCTTTTTCTAGCTCTTCTCCCCCTGCTTATCACTGCAGACACCATAATGTACAACCACTTACTATTCTGAGAACAAAGGTGTTTCTGCAGTTGTGACTTCCAACCTAGTCAAAATAAATCAAAGTAGCTCCCCAGCCAGTAGAGAGATTCTTCCCACCCGGTCCCCTGAGAGGCCTGTGACATGTAAATCACTTGACACTTTCCAGGATGCTGTTCTCTACTATATGCCTGGAGCACGCCATTACTGATTACTACTTCCGCACTTACAGAGACAGACAACATGTTTATTTATACTGACACTTTGAAACTAGCTTATTTTTCTACTATAAAAAGTCATTTCTGTGAAAGACTTCTGCACCAGGAAAGAGGCAGATTGGGAAGGAAGAACACCCTGTTCTCTACAGAATCCTTTTATTTTAAATCATGCAGATGGGGTACAATATACTAAGCCTGCTCAGTAGAGAAAGGTAAAAAGTACTGCACAGAGAGGTGCTGCACATAGATGTCTGTTAAGGGGTTAGTTATATAGCTAAAGAAAAAAAAGCGTTTAGTAACAATAAATTAAAACCCCATCCTTAAGAAAACACTAATTTGAAATCAGCCGTATACTTTATAATGGAACAATCAGAACATAACATCTTAAGTAAATTTGGTCACTATGATAGTGGCTTTAGAACTTAATTAATTTATTTAATTCCAGCACCTACTCACTTACAAAAAGTCTGCAAGAAGCTTGTCAAGAAATCCCACAAGAATTTTTACTACAGAGAAGAAAGTGTAAGCTATGCAATGAGTCTGATGTATTGCACAGATGCTGATTATACATGGTAATAAAATTGACAGCTCTTCTTTGCATTTTCCCCATCTGCTTTTAAAGTAAATGGCAAAAACAGCTGTCAGAAAACAGAAAATAGATTTCAGTGATGGGACTCAGTGCAGCTCCTGAATCTGAAGAACTGCAATACACAGCCAACCCATCTCTCATCATTTGCAACATCTGCCAGGTTTAAGGGTTTTTAAAATAAGGAAAAAGTAATGATCTCCCTTTGCTACAGGAATCCTTGAGGCTATTAAACAAAGTACCTCGGTTTTATCTTTC